ATTTAGGTTAAAAGTTGGGTAAACAAAACACAATGCCCTTATGTTGATGACGTTTTGCAAATCCAATCAGTTTTCCACATTGATTCAATGTCATCACATTTATTTTTGGGGTTGAAAAGACATGGAAACAACGTTGATTCAACCAGTTTTTGCCCAGTAGGAAGCCGCAGGAAATAAAAGACTGTGGCTTCAATTGGATCATGGCTCTGGACATCACAGCTGCATATGTGATCTCGTTTCAGACAGCTCTCTGGGATTACCTTGACGAAGGGACATCTGATGCTGAGAGGATAGATATCTACCCCAAGAAACATCTCATCTGCCGTTTTACTGCCGGTTAGGTGACACTTTTCAAAGCAACCAATGATGGTGGACACTGACATGTTGACATGAAAGTCATCAGTAAAAATTTGTGACTTATTCCACAGATGTTACCCAAGATACTGTGCAAACACTTTCCCCTGGAACTGTTTCTTGACCAACTTTTCTTTGTCAGGTCAAGATTTAGTTTATGTAGATCATCTGGTGGGGTGATCAATTATTTCCATTCCTTTTCATTTGACGACTTAATCTAAACAAGAATATGCCCAACAGGTTACATTATACATTTTTCTGGATTACTTGTTGATTGCTTTTAAGAATATTGTAACTTTAAAATGTGTTGAAATTAAACTGTATAAGCATGAAAAAGCTTTTAAAACACGTTTTTAGCTTGTGTGTGTTTGCTTTGAGGTTGGATTTCCTTGCTGTGTTACAAATGCTCCAAATGTAGTGTATTTGCTTCTAGTATTCCACTTCTGTATTCATTTTAAATGAGAATGAAATATTTAAACACTCATTCCATGTAGTAAAATAATCTGAACGTTAACGTTTAGTCTAGTTATTAATTGTAGGTTAATGGAGTATATTTGCCATTCCCAAATGCATTCGAACTTTCTAAACTGAGCCCCTCTAGTTTTCGTATCTAGGCCAATATTCTGTCTCTTAGGCTTGTCACACCTCTTTGTGCATACTTCATTCTTGTCATCGGAGCAGCTTGAAATGTCTGCATTGTCACGTCACAGCAGGCAAGATGGCATAGTCTATAGGGTATTAAACTACTTCTATGACACCACACTGTGTGGCCCGCACGCAATTTAGAGAGACCACAAATCTTAGCAGCCCATTTGAAAGTGCTCTAAAGATTCTATCAGTGTCTAACAGTTCCTGTGATTTTGCTAAAGTGTGATTTAGCTCCAAGTGTTTTTCAATAGTCTCCCTCAACACTGGGCTACTTCAGTCCATCCACAAGTGTCTTACACTTGTGGTTTGTATAATGATCATTTGCAAGGCAATCAGAGCCCCAGGTTCTGTGGAATCCGGAGCATTTGGCCCAGAGTCAAAATAAGCACTGTGTACACAAAGACACTGCAGCTCCACTGTTCTCCCTTGAATTTCCTGACTACAAGGACACTGTACTGCTCATTTTACTCTAAATCCCTGTCATCCATGGCTATTCATAATCGCCAGCGTTTTTCCCTAAACAGGAATAGCAACAGACCTTCCATTTCCTGCTGTGGCTGCTCCTACCCCTGTTTAGCAAGCGGGAGGTCCAGGAGTCCCTGGTTCTGTGTGCTTGTGATGATGCACTGGTTGTAAAGCAAACCACCTGACAGTGTTTGCCGTCACTGACAAACAACACTTGAAGGGCACTTTGGATTTGGAAAGAAGTACAATGTTGTTTGAACTTCTCGAGTTGAAAATGTACTGTTGTGGCAGTTTCTGTGGGTCAATATGTGAAGATACATGAACTGGAAATACAATAAAAATTGATGTGAACCTAGTACAAAATATAATTGTTTGACATTTGATATTGGGAAATATATTATACAAACATGACAACTGTGTTATGATTTAATATGCTCATTTTCCATCAAGTCTGTACAACCTGCAAGAATTGACCAGTTAGATTTGTCTTGGGGGAAAAGGGCTTGAGTGTTGCTCTTCTCCTTCACTGCCATTTGTGGTAAGCTGAGGTGCTCAGGGACTGAGTGTCTTCAAATGGAGCAGTGACAGTGTCCAGATGACTGTAATTAAATTTTCCCAGTTAGTGCTTACTTCCCCATGTCAAATCCCATGGAGCCAGTAGAGGATAGCAATTATGCCAGTCAGGAGGCTGAGAACATTCTCCAGAGGGAGCTAGCCAGTAGCTAGTGAGATATGGGCTCTACACAAGCATCCATCTTATTGTGCCATTAATGACCCTTTCAGGGTGGTTGCCCTTGGAGACCCCAAAGCGTTAATGAATTGGAGCGCTGCTCACCAGTGGATCATAGGGTCTGTGGACCCAGCCGCCACAATGAGTTCAACTACCACTACCACATGCTCACATGTCAGTCAACCATGCATATGTGGGCTTTATTAAACTAACAATGGCAACTGCAGGAAGGACACTGGGAGGGGGGCACACCCAGACACCCTACTGATGTTTAGTTACACAAAGTGTAAATGAGAATTGTGTGTGTGTGTGTGTGAATGTCTTAACTAACCTACAGTATCATATTGCCTGGCTTATTACTGGCATGTAACACTTTATAAATGTATGTTCGGTCAAATGTCTTGGTCAAGTCGAATACAGCTGCTACTACAACCATTACTGAAATCCTTACCATGGCTCTAGATAAGTAATTCTGATCCAGTCCCTTGGGAGAATTCCATGGCCTCTCTCAGTGAGATGCAACCACTTTGGAAACATCTCTCATTCCCTGCAGCAGTGAGGCAGGTTTCAAATGTCATGTCTTGATCTGAATTGGACACATGCGAGTAACGATTTTCTCTCTGTCCAAGAATGAATGCCAAACCTGATGAGTTCAAGCAGAGGGCTATGTACCATGAATCACAATGTTTTGAACTGTGCAAGACAAATAGGACAAGAACAAACTGCCCTAGTAATTTAACATTACGTTTAGGAATAGATGTTCTAGTGAGGAATAAGACAGAAAGACAGAAAGAGGTGCATTTGCGCGACAGAGAGACCGATTATATGTTTTCAAAGGAACATTTTAGTGCCTTTATAGCATTTTGAAAAGGTTGATCCTGTTGCTCACTGAACATGTCCTGTATGGCAAGCAGGAATTCCCTGTTAAGGTTGATTGGTATGGAAAACCATTCTGTAAAAAACGAATGGAATATGAACGAAGCTTTTCCCATTGGAAGCCACGCACAATAATGCAGAGAGCCATAGTAGGATACTAAAGCGGCTCATGCATGGCCTATAGCCTACATGATGTGCCATAGGATGAGGCATCAAAGCAATTATTTCGCGCTCTATAGAAATCAGCAGAGAACATAATGTAGAGACCTAATTGAGTTTGAATGTAGCCTAATAGTATGGAAAATTAAATATCAACCACATGTAACTGACAGATAAATTTAGCAAAACTGTGTGGTTTTATTCGATAGTTGCCACATTGTAGAACCAAATACCTTCTCATTGAGTCGGACGATCTGGTCCATTTTTTCTTCATCTTGTAAAAGCTCCTGCAATTCATTGGTGTTTAGAGCCCTATACCCGTCTGGGATAGAGTTCGTGTCCTTAAAATTGGACATTGTATTCCTTCACACGCAGTTCAGACGACTTCGTTTGCATGCCCATTTGGTTCCATTTCGTTCGCATTGAATAGCACAGCCACAAGCGCGTGTTGTGTTGAAGCAGACCGCGTAGTGAGAATGGAACGTTTCTGTTGGCGGAGACAATACAAGATGCAGCGACACATACTTACCACGTTTGCAGCTAATGTAATGCCACTGACAACCACAGGAAGGCACGGTCGTTTATAAGCAAAGGTTATAAACAGTAAGAAACCTCTGCCACGATTTTGTTTGGAAGTATTTTATTATTGCCTGCTGAAGTCCTGTATTTCCTAAATACCCCAAAATGAGTAAAACATTTAAAATAAAGAATATGTATGAAATATTGAACATTATGTAGCTTACATTTTAAAGCATTTTAAATGTATGTAGGCAAGTGTGCAGTTATGCTGTGTGAGTCTCGCAAATGAAATATTGCAACCATTTTCACTTCCTTGATTGTTGTTACATTGCGTAATTTTGTAGCAGCTATGTTGTTACTATGTATCAACTTTTGAGGCAACTTTCGTTTCAATATCAATGGTTGTAAAAACTACAATTCCCATTTTTTGTACGCGTTCAGCTTGCATCTGGATCTGATTGGATGATTGAGTTGTATGAATTCTGAAGCTCGTTTTCATTGGTAGGATTCTAAAATTGTTGCCCATGGGGCTGGGGATCAGAAATGTCCCGTGCGAGAGAGGCAGGTTGAGGTTTCCAGGGTAAGAGTAGTAAAGAAGTTATCATATGCTGAGGCAGTGAAGAAAGTAGAGGAAGATGGGTCAAAGGGGGAGGAGTGGTGAGAGTAGTAGATATGTACCAGTACAGAGGGATAGGCCAACAAGTGATATATGTTTCAGTAAGATTGGATTTTTAGCATTTATAGCAATGGTTATTAATTGTACTGCAGGGATTGAAGGTAAATCGAAGAAAATTGAGGTTGTGGTGGCAGCTGCAGAGAGGTATTTGTGTGTGCGAGTCTTGACATCAGAACCGCGACGCTTTCCAGGGCTTGGGCCCCTCTCTCGGGGCGAACCCATTCCAGTATGAAAAAAAAATATGTATGTACTCACTAACTGTAAGTCGCTCTGGATAAGAGCGTCTGCTAAATGACTAAAATGTAAAAATGTAAGGGTTACAGGGAGTGGTGATGTCCCATCATTTCAGGTTGAGGGCATGAGGTAGGAATGAATATATTTAAATAGTGGAGTAGGGTGGTGTTAATGATTAATAATATTTTTGAATTTGTGAGTGTAGTGTTAGATGGTAGGGTATTTCTTAATTTTATTTTTCAAGCAAAATAAAAGGGAGTTGTACTCCAGTTTAGTAGGTGGCGGTAATGCAACAAATTGGATGCCAACCGCAGTTAAACCTCATCGAAGAAGAAGACAGGAAAAATGGCGGTGTTTGCTGGAGAGCGATGGCGAAGCGAGCTCCCAAGTCATGATATTTTTAATAAATTACGAGAGGAACTTGATTTGGAACCCAAAGCGAATTGCAGAAGAACTGCAAAGAGTCTTACATTTTGCCTCAATGGTGACATATTCTTGTGGAATGACGCAGACAGTGTTTTTTACACGACAAACCTGAGGCAGCTCAATTCAGAGGACAGCAATGAGAGTGTGAAATACCAGGTGAGTAAGTTACTAGATAACGTGGTTAAAGGTTGGTTCTTCATCTAGCTAGCTACTTTCTGACAAGTTTTTTTAACGAACTATATTAGCTAGAATAGTCTCGGCAATGTAATTACAGTCAGTTGCCACTCCCATTAATTCCAATTAATTCCTGGCACAATATGCAATCGCTTTCACAGTGGCCTTGTCTGAACCCAGTGTTTCCCCTAGTATTCTTTTAAGCAGCGGTGGCAAAGTTAGCAGAATGTGTTTAGAATTGCAATTCTACACATTTTGTCATGGGGCTGAGAGAAATAATTGCAGTTCTAAAGTAACTGTCCAGTGAAACTCTCACTTTTGAAAGTTCATATTCTGTTAACTCATATCCAAATAATGTTGTTGACTCGTCCTGTACTTGTATTTGTGGCCAAAGCATACATTGGGGAAAGAACACTTAAAAAACTCAATCTCAAACTTGTATCTCAAACAGACCATTTAAAAAATGCTTGCAATTTCCTCAAGGAGTATGATGCCATACTCCTGAGGAGAATGAGCTAGCCAATCAGCAGTCTAAAAGAGGATGAACTGGCTAATCAGTGTCAAAATATAATGTCAAAATACTTTAGTTACTCACCAAATATGGAGTTTTGCTGAGCGTCATTTACTGCCATCACGGCCGGTGCGTGCTTCTAAAAAAGGTCTAAATAGAAATTTACAAGCAACTGAAAAAATGTATCTAGGCTATGTATTGTTTTTGACCAAGTGCGCATGTGCCAAATCCACCTCTTTGGAAATATCACTAAAAACATACCCTATATTGTCTACTTAATTTAAATAGTATTGCATTCCATGTAGTGCATGTGAAACAACAGGTTGATATGACATTCATACACTGTTGTAGGTGATAATCAATGATCATTCGGGATACTGTACGGCTGCTGGATCAGCCGACCTGTGTGTGACAGTAATGAGTGATTTATTTTTTTGTTTGCAAAAAAATAAAGGAACTTTTTTGGAAGTACATACCGGGCGTGACGGCAGTAAATGACAATAGTTGCTAAGCGAAACTCCATATTTGGTGAGTAACGAACATGCAGTATTTTGACATAACGCTTGTAGAGCTATCTAATGGGAAAATGAATGGTAGCTAACTGGGCTAGAGAGGAGACTCGTCATATTTATCATCTCCTCCTCTGCCCAGATACTGTTTCAGGCCTTGTCCAGAAACAACACATTACCCCTATATACTACCCTCTAGCGCTTGTGGAGATCTGAGAGGATTGGACAGGTGGAAGCAATATGGCAAATATTCCACCTAGCTCGGGCAAGGTGGAGCTATCATATTGCCTAAATCAAATGAAATCCTCTCAACTCCTAATCAATGTTACCATCTACACTGAGTGTACAAAACATTAGGAACCCCTTCCCAATATTGAGTTGCACCCTTTTTTGCCCTCAGAACAGCCTCAATTCGTCGGGGCATAGACTCTACAAGGTGTCGAAAGCGTTCCACAGGGATGCTGGCCCATGTTGACTCCAATGCTTCCCACAGTTGTGTTAAGTTGTCTAGATGTCCTTTTGGGTGGTAGACCATTCTTGATACACAGGAAACTGTTAAGCGGGAAAAACCCAGCAGCGTTGCAGTTCTTGACACACTCAAACCGGTGCACCTGGCACCTACTACCATACCCCGTTCAAAGGCACTTAAATATTTTGTCTTGCCCATCCACACTCTGAATGGCAGACATGTCAAAATTGTCTGAAGGCTTAAAAATGTCTCCTCCCCTTCATCTACACTGATTGAAGTGGATTTAACAGGTGACATCAATAAGGGATCATAGCGTTCACCTGGTCAGTCTGTCATGTTTTGTACAGTCAGTGTATTTTTTGGTGATAAGCATTGTGATGTTGAAGACTTACATCAGTTGACTTTCATTTCTTTCCTCAGACTCTGTTGTGCATCAATCCACCACGGTTCGAAGTATGCCAGGTGTTGCTGAGCCCGACACAGTACCATGTCGCACTCATTGGACAACGGGGTGCCACCGTTCTAGAATTACCACAGCGGTGGGGCAAGAGGTCAGAGTTTGAAGGAGGACGGAGCGAAGTTAACTGCAAGTGAGTATGAAACGTTATCCCAATACCCATTTCTATCATAAATAACTATCTGACTCATTTTATTTTTATTTTTATATCTTGGTCCCTTTAGGGATCTGAAGAGCACTCTGCAGGGTCCCTACTTGAACAGTTAGGAAGCACCTGTATCATAGTTTATTTTTCTCTATAACAGAATTGTGCCGTGGGCTGTAACTAAATGGCCCATATAGCCTACTGTAAGGAAGTATCCCCATCCCACGCTTATTGTCTTGAGTTCAAAGAAAATCTCATATTTTGGTTCAAATCAAATAAACATTCTTACACCACTCTAAATCCTGTGTTGACTCTATTCCATGGGGTAGATTAATTAAGGATTCTGTGCTGAGTGAAATGTGATTTACCCTCTACCAGGACTATTCCTGTAGCTGAGCGATTCTTCACCAGCTCAGCCTCAGTGACCCTGCGGCAGGCCGCCTGGTTCCCCAGTGAGACGGAGGAGCCCCACCTAGTGCTGCTGACCTCTGACAACACCATCAGGTGAACATGCACAGCACCATTTACAAAGCACTGATATAATGACAGTTGTGATAGTTTTCTTTTTAAATTTATTTTTATGTCTCATCAATCAATGGGTTTGTTAGCTAGGGCCCCACTGTGATCTGCACCACCAGCTCCTACGAGTGATTTATATGTGTATTGACCATACAATTACACTGCATTGACATTTGATTGGTGTGTATAGGTTCTATGGGTTGAAAGAGCCTCAGACTCCAGCTAGAGCGCTATCAGTGTCCCAATCAGAGGAGGACAGCAGTGTACACACTCGAGGGTGAGTTATTTAATCCTCTGAATTGACCGAATCAAAATGTAATTGACCTACACCCTGCTATCTGGCTTACTAATGAGATCTCTGTCGCTCACCCCTCTTTCTCAGGCGCTCCTATGCAGCCTCTCTGGGGGAGATCGCTGTGGCGTTCGACTTTGGACCTGTGGCAGGTGCCCCTCGACAGCTCACAGGCCAGCGGTCCAAGGAGGATGTGCTGGTGTACCCTCTCTACATACTCTATGAGAATGGAGAGACCTATCTCAGCTACACCAGCCTCGCACACAGGTAAGGGGCTTAGAGGCAGTGTCTTGATGCACAATTACAGGGTACACTCTTGTTTTTGTCATTTACAACTACCTGAGTTCTGAACTTGAAGGCTGCCAAGCGCGTCTCTTTCCAGAATGCGCTTTCTCCTGCCAATTTGTGCACATTCACTGTTTCATAACTTCATTGTGTGAATTGTTTTCCCTTTGATTGTTAGTCTATCAATTTCCCATTACATATATCACCAGTAGTACATTTTCTGTTAATCCCCATAGTTTCTAATCTACAATGTTTGTTTGGAATCTGTTAATGCATTCAATATGTTATTATTACAGTTGATTACCGTTCTCATTGTCGGAGCGGACATGCTTGCAGAGCTCACAACCTATGCTACACTTGTGAGAAACAAGTTTTGGTTTATTTCATTCCATTTACGTGTTTTGTCAATTTATTCATTGTCTTTTGTTTGCAGCGCTCCTGTCAGTGTTGAGTAAGGACGTGTTTTACCCTTATTCAACACTAACAGGAGCGCTCCAAGTAAAATAATGAATAAATTGACAAAACTCGCAAATGGAATGAAATAAACCAAAACTTGTTTCTCACAAGTGTAGCATAGGTTGTGAGCTCTGCAAATGTGTCCACTCCGACAATGAGAACGTTAAACGACTGTAATAATAATAATATATTGAATGCATTAACAGAATCCAAACAAATATTGTGGATTAGAAATTATGGGGATTAACGGTAAATGTACTACTGGTGATTTCGCATAGAAGTAGGTCTAGGCTACCTGGCCTGCGTGCAAATGTATAAATGTGCCCATTTGGGGATGGCTGATAGTATTTCTGATTGTCTTATCTCACCACCACTAATGAGCTGTGGAGCATCTCAAAGTAATTTTTTCTTCACCTCAAACAGCAAGTAAACAAAGTCTGTTTTTACATCCATTGAGACTGACTTTTCATGTATTTGAAAAATCTTTCCAGCTCTCTTCCTTTCAATAACCACCTAGCCTCGGCGTGAAACTGAAAAATGTCATGCTCTGATCCAGTGCAAACGTCATAAAATACCTGATTTATTCGTATACATTGCGCACATACAGCTGTGTCTGTCCAGAGCTGGGAAACTCTTGAGGGCCCAGAATAGTTGAGACAATGTTGCAAGTTTGCTAGCACAAGCTTCAGGCTGGATCCAGTTGACATGCAGTAGTTGATACAATGTTTCAAGTTCATTGCAGACAGGCGGAGTAGAGAGAGGATTGTGATTGAAAGAACATGAACAAACTGCATAGACAATGTGATTTAAAGAATATTTATTTTTATCAGGATATTTTCTACCTGCAATGTTTTTATTTGTTGGCTTTATGTAGGCTATTTTTACCTAGTTAGCAATGGAAGTTAGGCCTACTTGCATTGGTATATAGGCCTATCTCTGCATTCTGCGCTATGTTCTTTAGCTGCCATTTCCATACAGGATTTACCCCAGTGTTTTACCCAAAAGGCTCAGACTTGGCTCTACATGGGCCGGCCGGCACCCGTGTCTCACTGGGCCATGGCTTCGGCGGACCTGCTCTCACTTGGGGCCAAAGGCAGGCCACTGGTACTTTTTAGCCTCTATTTACATAACAATGGCTAACTGTGAACTTTAACACCTTCTCACAAAGCATCTGTTTTGATTATGCAGGTATTGTTGATTCTGCTCTTCACAAATTCTGACTGTCAGTCCAAGCTATGGAAACACAAATTCTCTAGTATAACATAAGGGTGTGTACACTAGTGTAACACTGGCTTTATAGTCGAAAAGCAGCAACTGTGTATGGACAATGTGTCCATTTGGCAGAGGCAGGCGCTCTTAAGTTATATTAATTTTAGCTTTGTATCATTTAGATATAATTTATGTTAACCACATGGCAATGATTTTGAGATACGAAGACATTATTATTGAAATGAAACTGTTCCACGAAAATGTGCATATGAAAATCATAACTGGCATGCAGATCGGTAGAAGTGGTAAGGTAAATTGGCAATCCACATGAAAAAAGTTGCCGACCCCTTTTTTTAGCCTATTACCGGCAACTTCAGGAGCATAACGGCAGAATCTGCGAAGGCCAGCAGCAGCGGAAGAAGGAGGGTCGGGAACAGTTTTTTTTTCATCTGGTTATCTTGATCTTTGGCTCCATCTTGAGTTATTTGTCTTAATTATTTCATAAAACGGTGCTCTTAAAGCATCAAACAAGCTCAGTCCATAGTTGATTTTATTAAAACACATACAGTGCATTTGGAAAGTATTCAGACCCCTTGACTCTTTCCACATTTTGTTACGTTACAGCCTTATTCTAAAATTGATTAAATAGTTTTTTTATCCTTCATCAATCTACACACAATAACCCATAATAACAAAGCAAAAACAGGTTAAGAATTTTGTGCAATAAAAAAAATATATATATATATACTGAAATATTACATTTACATAAGTATTCAGACCCTTTACTCAGTACTGTGTTGAAGCACCTTTGGCATCGATTACAGCCTTGAGTCTTCTTGGGTATGACGCTACAAGCATGGCACACCTGTATTTGGGGAGTTTCTCCTGTTCTTCTCTGCAGATCCTCTCAAGCTCTTGTCAGGTTGGAGGGGGAGTGTTGCTGCACATCTATTTTCAGGTCTCCAGAGATGTTCGATCAGGTTCAAGTCCGGGCTCTGGCTGAGTCACTCAAGGACATTCAGAGACTTGTCCCGAAGCCACTCCTGCATTGTCTTGACTGTGTGCTTAGGGTTGTTGTCTTGTTGGAAGGTGAACCTCCATCCCAGTCTGAGGTCCTGAGCACTCTGGAGCAGGTTTTCATCAAGGATCTCTCTGTACTTTGCTCCGTTCATATTTTCCTTGATCCTGACTAGTCTCCCAGTCCCTGCCGTTGAAAAACATCCCCACAGGATGATGCTGCCACCACCATGCTTCACCATAGGGATGGTGCCAGGTTTTTTCAGATGTGACGCTTGGCATTCAGGCCAAAGAGTTCAATCTTGGTTTCATCAGACCAGAGAATCTTGTTTCTCATGGTCTGAGCGTCCTTTAGGTGCCTTTTGGCAAACTCCAAGTGGGCTGTCATGTGCTTTTTACTGAGGAGTGGCTTCCATCTGGCCACTCTACCATAAAGGCCTCCCCCGATTGCTCAGTTTGGCCGGGCGGCCAGCTCTAGGAAGAGTCTTGGTGGTTCTAAACTTCTTCCATTTAAGAATGATGGAGGCCACTGTGTTCTTGGGGACCTTCAATGCTGCAGACATTTTTTGCTACCATTCCCCAGATCTGTGCCTCGACATAATCCTGTCTCTGAGCTCTACGGACAATTCCTTCGACCTCGTGGCTTGGTTTTTGCTCTGACAGGCACTGTCAACTGTGGGACCTTATATAGACAGGTGTGTGCCTTTCCAAATCATGTCCAATCAATTGAATTGTAGAAACGTCTCAAGGATGATCAATGGAAAAAGGATGCACCTGAGCTCAATTTCGAGTCTCATAGCATAGCAATAATAAGGTATTTCTGTTTTTATTTGTAATACATTTACAAAAATGTCTAAAAACCTGTTTTCGCTTTGTCATGATGGGGTATTGTATGTAGATTGAGTAAAATAAGGCTGTAACAAAATGTGGAAAAGGGGAAGGGGTCTGAATACTTCCCGAATGCACTGTAGGGTGTGTATATATGGAGAAACGCACATTTTAAAATTTAGGCCAATCAATTGGTCAAAAGAACAGATGACTCTCGGTCGACCAAGATTTGTATTAGCCAGGGAAAGGCAGAGTCAGCTTGCAGTTAGTTGTATTCTCTGGCTTGGTCTGATTGAATTGCAATGAATAAAACATGGTGAAGCTTATTCAGTCGACCTTATAAATATATACTGAACAAAAATATAAACGCAACAATTTCAAAGATTTTACTGAGTTACAGTTCATATATGGAAATCAGTCAATTTAAATGCATTCATTAGGGCCTATTCTATGGATTTCACATGACTGGGCAGGGGCGCAGCCATGGGTGGACGTGGGAGGGCATAGGCCCACCCACTGGGGAGCCAGGCCCAGTCAATCAGAATGAGTTTTTCCTCACAAAAGGGCTTTATTACAGACAGAAATACTCCTCAGTTTCATCAGCTGTCCGGGTGGCTGGTCTCAGACGATCCCGCAAGTGAAGAAGCCAGATGTGGAGGTCCTGGGCAGGCGTGGTTACACGTGGTCTGCGGTTGTGAGGCCGTTTGGACGTACTGCCAAATTCTCTCAAACGAAGTTGGAGGCAGCTTATGGTAGAAAAATGAACATTAAATTCTCTGGCAACAGCTCTGGTGGACATTCCTGCAGTCATTATGCCAGTTGCACACTCCCTCAACTTGAGACATCTGTGGCATTGTGTTGTGACAAAACTGCACATTTTAGAGTAGCCTTTTATTGTCCCCCGCACAAGGTGCACCTGTTATAATGATCATGCTGTTTAATCAGCTTCTTGATATGCCACACCTGTCAGGTGGAGGGATTATTTTGGTAAAGGAGAAATGCTCACTAACAGGGATGTAAACAAATTTGTGCACAACATTTGAGAGAAATAAGCATTTTGTGCGCATGGAACATTTTTTAGAATATTTTATTTCAGCTCATGAAACATGGAACCAACACTTTACATGTTGCGTTTATATTCTTGTTCAGTATATTATGCTACTGTTTGAGGAAAATGTGATAAAAGATCATCCATTAGTAGGAATCTCATTTGAATCTCATTCCTAGACCACATTTTTCTGTCTTTCAGTTCGGGTAGCCTCAGTAAGCCCATTGGGCCCTTACCCATGTACCCCGCGGCAGAGGATAACTATGGTTATGACGCCTGTGCCGTGCTCTGCCTGCCCTGCGTGCCCAACATCCTGGTCATTGCCACGGAAACGGGCACACTGTATCATTGCGTGGTGCTGGAAGCAGAGGAGGAGGAGGAGGAGACAGGAGTAAGTACTGTACTAGACAGTGCAGCGTTACAGAATATTCAGAAATGTTCTGTGAAAAACAGATATGATTGTCTGTCCAGTAGAACAGGGAATCGTGTTGGCTCTTCGTTACATATATTCTGAACATTTCACCTCACTGAATACAGCCCAGGAGTGTACACTGTATGTCCACCAAGGAATCTTCTTCTCTGTGTGATTGACAGGCAGTGGAGAGGTGGATGCGGGGCTCTGAGGCGGTGCCCTCTCTTTATGTGTTTGAGTGTGTGGAACTGGAGCTCACCCTCAAACTGGCCGCTGGGGAGGAGGAGCCGCCTGTGGAGTCTGACTTCACCTGCCCAATCAGACTGCACAGAGGTGAGTGAGTCATGCTGATTGGTTGATATAGTTGAATGCTAAAATGGGATTCATTGATACTTCCCACCAGGTCTGGCTGTGTCTCAAAAGTCCAAACCCCATCATCATGTTTGTCTAATGTACTTTCAATGTGATTTTGTTTTTTTCTGTGGTGTTCCTTATGTTTCATTGAAACTTGCTTTATACCCTATTGCAGACCCCCTGTGCCAGCACAGATACCACTGTACGCATGAGGCAGGAGTGCACAGTGTAGGCCTCACTTGGTTCAACAAACTGCACAAGTTCCTCCAGTCAGGTGAGTCCTTCATGTCCAGATGGGGTGTCTATTCAATTACTTTGTTTACCACATAAATCGGAGGTGGTTAGTGCATATTAGTGCATTAATTTGCCTGATTTGTCATAATGCTCTCTCTCCACAGATGAGGAGGACAAGGATAGTCTTCAGGAGCTGGCTGCGGAGCACCGCTGCATCGTAGAGCACATCCTCTGTACCAGGCCCCTCAGTAGCAGGTAGCACAACTATCAAGGCACCAGATATTAATATGACGTCATTGAATAGATTGAGATTCTCCTTGGCACCCCTTAGTCATAAGTACCAACTGGGGACTGTTGTCATAGATTGTCAACGTGGCAGTAAATGTTGTTTGCTCGTGTATTTAACTTTTTTTAAAAGTCTCCTCTCTCGCTCTCTGGCCACAGTTTGTCAGCTCCAGTACGGGGCTTCTGGATTGTGTCTGACCTGTCTTTGGGTGCCACCATGATCTGCATTACCAGCACCTACGAGTGTCTACTACTGCCTCTCCTGTACGGTTCAGTATTTACTCAATTTCCTTTTTGATTGTCAATTCTGGCCTATAATGGCCTAAACATTTTTATTTCATTATATAGGGGGCAATTAAAAAAATATCTAGATAGGAAAGTGTGTCACAGGCTGATGGTGCATGTCTGTGTGTGTCCTAGGAGTTCCATCCGGCCTCCCTCTCCTCCCCTGCTGTGTTCCCACCCGGGAGTAGGCTCAGCTAGCTCTCCTCTGCGTGGATTGCATGACGACTCCTTTGAGCAGCACATTCGAAACATCCTGGCCCGAAGCTCCACCAATCCTCTCATGCTGAGGTAACACACTCACCACAGTGCGTTGAAAACACCCCTGTAGGAGATCTTGGATTTGCACAGATGCCATATGACTCCATGGCAACATGCTTTGGCATCATGCTGTGCCATTTTGACATGTAGTATTCTCCCTTATGGCCGTTTTTGTGAAGGACAATTAGTTCTCAATGAACTGGCTTGATAACGGTTAGATAAAACTTTACAGCATGCCCATCTTCCCCTATAAACAAAAATATCACTATTATGCTTGGTTTATTGTGTATACTCAGTCGTGTTGTCCTGTGCGTTTAGGGCAGGGGACAAGGACACATCGTCCCCTCCTCCAGAGTGTCTCCAGCTGCTGAGCAGAGCCACCCAGGTGTTCAGAGAGGAGTACATCCTCAAACAGGATATGGCCCGCGAGGATATGCAGAGAAGGTAAATGTCACTCTCATTAACAGATACATACACACACACATGCATACACACATTTAATCAACAACACACATGATCACTTGTAGTTCTGATACACACACACAGGCTGTGTACAAAATCTGTCTTGCCTACTTTTTACTAAACCTCAATACTGTGTACTGATATTACTACATACTATTTAGAACGGACCGTTTAGGAAAAACATGTGCAGTAAGCAACACAACATACTACTCATCCATACTGAAAAGGCGTCATCTAAATCGCAATCGTGCTTGTTCCCCGCCAATCGTACATTTTTGTAGAGCGCGTCCCCTATTCTAATTATCAGCTGTTGTCAAACACGTGAGTGTGAAAAGACAATTCTCTTCCTCAATGTGTTCAGCGAATTCTACTTGATGAAAAGCCGAAATGAGTATGACATCCTGACATTTTAAAGCATACAAAACTTTTGAAATCTCAAATACTATATAACTTTCTATTTTCGGCATACCCAAAAAGCATACTATTTAGAACGCAGGTATGGGTAATCAGACACAGCCATGTCAGGAAGCATGTTGCTGATTGGTGTTTCTTCTTCAGGGTGAAACTGCTGACAGGACAGAAGAACAAGCAGCTTGAGGACCTGGCCCTTTGCAGAGAGGAGAGGTAAACTAGAGACACCAAAGTTTCCCAAGAAACTTAGTACTTGATGGCCATAGCTATGCACTCCCAAGGTTTACAGCAACTCAGAATTGTGCTATAACAATTAAAGCACTTAAAATATTAATGGAACATTGTAATACTAATGCATTTCACTTACGCTATGCTGAGGTAAAGTGAAAGACAGGGACATGTATTGCATGAAGAACAAGAGCAGGTAGCAGCAGATGTGGAAAAGGCTTCAGAAAATGCATCTTACAGTGCATCAGAGTTATCAGCAGTGGCAGAATTGTGCTCCAAGTAGTCTTAGAACAAAAGTATACTCTGTCAGAACTGTTTAATTGAGTAATAATGTGTATTTATTATCCTGTTTGCTCCCAGTGTACATATACTATGAATATTCAATGAGGTCATGTCATATGTAATTGAATGTGATGTGACTGATTTGGTTTGACCGGCAGTCTGGGGTTGATAATGCAATTAGAGGCCAAACAGAAGCATTTGAATTACAGTGATGGAAGTACTGAGGCTTCATATGAGCTTTACCATGCATTTCATATACTTTGGAGATATGTCATCTTGTATTTCTTTTTCTATCAATAGGAAAAGCCTGCGAGAGTCTGCAGAGCGTCTGGCTGATAAGTACGAGGATGCCAAGTATCGCCAGGAGGCCACCATGAACAGGTAGCTAGCTACACCCGTCTCTCTACGCTCCTCTTTCAAATCTAAACTTTCTTCATGGCTTGTTTCAGAAGTCTTTACATTTGTTTATACATTTTGTTTTTAAAGTCTTCAAAACAGACAGACTCAAGCAACATAAGAACTGACTTCCTCTCAAAAAACAAAAGCTATCTGCTTCAGAGCTTCTATTACATCAACTATTCCAGGGTGAAGCAGGTTTTGGGCAGTCTGCGCGGTCAGCTGCCCGTTTTGTCTGACAGTGAGAAGGACATGAAGAAAGAACTGCAGACTATCAACGACCAGCTGCGTCACCTGGGCAACGGCATCAAACAGGTGAGCCGCCTTCTTACATTTACATCATTTAGCAGACGCTCTTATCCAGAGCGACTTACAAATTGGTGCATTCAACTTATGATAGGCAGTGGGACAACCACTTTTTGTAAAGTTTTTTTTGAGTGGGGGGGTAGAAGGATTACTTTATACTATTCCAGGTATTCCTTAAAGAGGTAGGGTTTCAAGTGTCTCCGGAAGGTGGTCAGTGACTCCGCTGTCCTGGTGTCGTGGGGGAGCTTGTTCCACCATTGGGGTGCCAGAGCAGCAAATAGCTTTGACTGGGCTGAGCGGGAACTGTGCTTCTGTAGAGGTAGAGGGAGCTAGCAGGCCAGAGGTGGATGAACGTAGTGCCCTCGTTTGGGTGTAGGGTCTGATCAGAGCCTGAAGGTAAGGAGGTGCCGTTCCCCTCACAGCTCCGTAGGCAAGCACCATGGTCTTGTAGTAGATGCAAGCCTCAACTGGAAGCCAGTGGAGTGTGCGGAGGAGCGGGGTGACATGAGAGAACTTGGGAAGGTCGAACACCAGACAGGCTGCGGCGTTCTGGATAAGTTGTAGGGGTTTAATGGCACAGGCAGGGAGCCCAGCCAACAGCGAGTTGCAGTAATCCATACGGGAGATGACAAGTGCCTGGATTAGGACCTGTGCCGCTTTCTGTGTAAGGCAGGGTCGTACTCTGAAAATGTTGTAGAGCATGAACCTGCAGGATCGGGTCACCGCTTTGATGTTAGCGGAGAACGACAGGGTGTTGTCCAGGGTCACACCAAGGTTCTTTGCACTCTGGGAGGAGGACACAATGGAGTTGTCAACCGTGATGGCGAGATCATGGAGCGGGCAGTACTTCCCCGGGAGGAAGAGCAGCTCCGTCTTGCCGAGGTTCAGCTTGAGGTGGTGATCCGACATCCACACTGATATGTCGAGGTCTTCGTCATCATCCTCATGGAGCCTCGTACTGGTTCACAGTAATAACTGGGCTGGTGTCTTATTTTCTCCCAGGTAAATATGAAGGAGGAGTACCAGAAGAAACAGATGGACAAAGGGGTGTCTCCAGCCAGGGCTACTGTTGCCCTCAACGCGCACCAGAGGAAGTGTGTCCAGGAGGTTATAAAAGAACAGTGAGTATGAGCTGCTCTTCCCTGGGTGTTCAGCCTGCTGGCCATATGACACCCATTGACCCGTTTTGTTTGGAGATGATCCCAAACTTTGAATGTTGTCCCTACTGTTTAATGTTGGTCCTGAGTCTTGTCTAATATGATCTAGCAGTGTTATTTCCCTCAAGTAGCCTCTTGTTTCCCTCTCTCTTCCAGGGGAGAGCACATTGGAGAAATGATGAAACAGATCAAGGACATCAAGAACCATTTCAGTTTCTGAGACCGTTAAGGGAGCCATCCTTCATCCACAGCTATCCCACTGCTTTCCAAACAACCAAAATAATAATGAAGAGCTATTGTGAATACTCAGTCAACGCTTGCTAAAATAGTCTGTCTCATGACATGTTGACTCATAAGGCTAGCGTTAGCCATAATGTCAGATTGTCACATCTTTGTAACAAGTTGTATACATGAGTCTACCCAGGGTTTTATACACACCATTAATGTATATTTGTCTATCTGGAGAATAAAAGTAATGCATGTACAGTACTGCCATGACTCTGACTACCTATTTTTCCAATACATGTTTATTTTAACTCTGCATGAACAGTTAGCCCCACATACTGGTCTGGGTGGAGATGTTCTTTTCTACTGATGACCGAAGACGGGTATTTTCTTCAGCTTCGCCATTTGGCAATGGATACTTATCGCAGTTTCTCATATTGTGTGACTTGCTCCTCTGTTAGTGTGATTTACAGGGCTGTCACCTTGGAGGAAGAATGGGAGGGGAGTTGGTCTCATGGTTCAAGTGTGACAGTTTTGAATCTCCATACATTATCTTTGATGCATTGAGTTTACATCTTCAACTGTAGCAAAATCTACTGATTTTAAAACAGGTCTGTGGGGGTACTGCAGGGGCTCCACAATTAAAATATATTTTTTTAATGTGGGTATTTTTGTGAAAATTGCTAGCTGCAACAGAATACCATCATGGATACCATTTTTATGTCTGACTTCCTTCATACTGGACGCAGAGGTAGTCTCACGAGCCAATGCTAATTAACGTTAGCACAATGACGAAGTCTACAGTTAGCGTGCTCGCTGTTCCTGTTCAGACTCTGGGGAAGTAGGTAAATGGCTTCATCCTCGGTTGGAAGATCTTTCAGAACAAGATGCATTTCCCATTTTATTTTAGTCACTAAGTATCTGGAATTAACAGGCTGTGCTCTCCAGCTTGTGTTTTATGGGTTCTACTAAGAGCCTTTTACAGGACTGCCCTCCAATGGAGCATTGTGTTGGAGAGACAGTCACACATTCCATAAAGTACAATTTGGTTTATTAGATATATACAGAAATATGTACACAGTACTGTATATACATTTGCAAGGGGCCCCAGCAGAAGCGTCAAAGTATGCAAAAAGAGAACTCCTGTTTTTTTGCGAAGATTCCTCCCACCATTATTGGAATGACTGTTCTGCAGGAAATATTACACGCCACAGTGAAATCCTAAATTAAACACTGCCTAAAATGAAAGCCACAGTCTTATTTTTCATTGGAATTTCAATAACTGTAGGAGCTCAAGGAATTTGTTTATGCAGACCAAATAAAGGGGTTGTTTGAGGACCTTAAGACAATTGCACACAGCAGCACTATTCAAGGGAAGGGTGGACAAGTTATTCTGTAGAAATGACAGAACCAAAAAGCCTTGTTTGTTAATGCTGATGACTGTTAGGAATTCAATTTGAAATAGACAGATATTCAACTATTTCGAAATAAATGGGGTGCTGTGAGCATGTTGTAGTGACTAGTGATTATCACTATAATAACGGTAGAGCTTTAAGACTTTAGGTGTCTGTTCCACGTCTATATTAAAATCAACCTTTTTCTGGGTAACACAGGGGAATTTGGTTCGATTTCTGTCATTACCAAATGGGGAACATTTGAACACACCAACCCAATGTAAGAGAAGGTCTCTTGAAGGTTATGAAACACCACACCTAAAGCATGTGAGTCACAGTATACAAGTCATACTGTGTCAGATTATCCAAACTTTCAGGGAGCAAAGTGAATCAGACCTGGGTTCAAATACTATTGAAAATATCTCAATTACTTTCACATACATTCAAAGTAAGTACTCAGATATATTTAATTTGAAAAGACAAGTAGTTGAATATTTTAATGTATTTGGAAATGCATTTGGAAAGTATTTGAAAATACTCATTCACATGCATTTAACCCAGGAATTAGAAAATAGTATTTGAATTAAGAAGTTTTTTTTTTTACACAAATGAAATTTAAAATACTCAAATAAAAGTAGTTATTTTGGGCTGTGTATTTGAAAATACAGAAAAGTATTTTAAATACCAGATACTCAAATACAAATATATTTTAACCCTGGTCTAAAGTGAATTCACAATATTATACACAGAAGCAATAATTTTACACCCACAAATATACAAGCCATAAACATTCATTTATCTTTCAGTGCAAGATAATCTGGCTTCCTTACTCATATCCTCTTAAAACTACGTTACAGACAAAAAAAATAGCAGGATTCTGATAAATATCAACTCAATACATTTACAGATGTATCCAATTGATACAGATGTAGTACATGCAAGTCAAAGAATCAATGATCTCAATCAATGTATCCTTAAAATCACATTGTCGTATTATGTTCAACAGTGTTAAGGAAGCATTTTCCTATAAGGATGATTGTTTTACAACAGTTAAAAGCAATAAATCATGCTGTCATGTCTAAACATTTTCCATAGATCAACCCTAAGTGCTGTAAGCACCCCAGTCACCTCAGCCAATGAGTGAAAAAACATTTTACCCACCACACACAATTAAATCCACACAAAACTGTTAAGTCCATCACTACCACCATTTAAAACAGTTGCCTAGAGAGTTTTTTTCATTCCTTTAGAGAAATTAAAATGCAAATACTTCACGGTGCATTACGAGTTTCTAAAAGTCTGTATTAAGTAGATTATTCAAATGTAGAAGGTTTCTCTCCCCAAAGTCAACCATTCTCTTTCAAGTGAACTGCCTGATGGGATTGCTTGAGTGAAAAACCATATCGAAAATGTGTTATAATGTTAGTGCACTTTTCTGATGCTAGGGACCGATATTTTGTACGGTTCTTGCTATAGGTAATGATCATAACACTCCATATTCATTCTGATCCAATAATTCCATCTCCTAGTGCCCACTTAGTGTTCAGTGATTATCTGTCATGATGATTTGACAGTTCTGTCCAAGAAAATAAACATGAAACAAACACAGAAAAAATGTCAGGATCTGATTTAACAGAAGAGTACTCAACCAGTTCCATGGAAACCTTGTAAAACCCAAAGTCGGATGTAATAGGATACGACCATGATGAGTCAACTGATTATTCACACTATTCATAATTTCCAATGAGACATGGAACCTACACTTAAAAAGGCCCAAAGCAGCCATTTTTATATTAATATCAAATCATTTCTGGGTAACAATTAAGTACCTTACTATAATATATTTCCATAAAAATTGGCAGTCTGGCAGTGGTCTGAGTGGGGAGGGGAAAACTGAATACCAGCTGTAATTGGCAGAGGTTTGGAACTCTTTGTTATTGGTCTATTAACCAATTTAACGCATGGTGATGTCACTAAGGAAAGCCGAAACTCCCGCCCATGCAAACTTGCTAATTAGAAGGTCCTGTGTAGATTGTATTTTCAACCAGCAACTATCAGGAAATAACACTTTTCACAGTGTTAGTTTCATCAGCTGTTGTACAATATGACATAAAACACAGGAAAATCACTTCGACAGCACTGGGCCTTTAAGCAACCAGGACACCTTCTCTATTCCCTAGTAGAGATGAGAGGTTAAGTTCCCACTGAGGTTAGAGAAACTTCAGAAGGTCTCAAGAAGTTGTGCCAGAAACTCCATGAGACTAGGGACAATGTTGGTGAATCAGGTAGTGTTCAATGTGGACAGACTGTACAAATGACTAATTACAGTCCTGTAGCTCAGTTGGTAGAGCATGGCGCTTGCAACGCCAGGGTTGTGGGTTCGTTTCCCACGGGGGGCCAGTATGAAAATGTATGCACTCACTAACTGTAAGTCGCTCTGGATAAGAGTGTCTGCTAAATGACTAAAATGTAAAAATATCATGGTCAATGCCCCCTCAAATGACTTGAGGTTGCAAGAGTATTTGTGGTGCAGCCAGAAACAAAACTATACGAGTGAAATATGAAATACAAAATACAAAAGTAGAGAAGAGTGCATTTTCTCAGCAGAGGGACAAAAGCCAGATGATCTTTTCATCAATGATTTACCATTAACATTCAGGCCTGTCACACTGAAAATGTAATCAAAGGAATACTGTTAACAGTGATGCCAGACCATGAAAAATCCACCCTTCAGAAGAATTAGTCAATTCTATGGATTATCCATTCCATTGTGATAACTGGTCATCACTGTCACTATGGCCATGTCTCAATAGTCCTAAAACGGCTCCCTCACAAATGTATAGACGTGCGCCATATGTTTGGTACATAACCAGTCATTTCACCTGTCAGGTTCTAAAGAAAAAGGAAACTAGTAAAGCAAAGGAACCTATTTCAGACTATTGGGATACAGCTTAAAACTCAAGCAGTTAGGTTTGACCCTCCATTCATTTTAGAATTCAGAAACCACAGGGTTTACTGAGGCAGATCAGGACTTCCACTGGAAGCAGGCATGGGGAAAGAAGAGACCATAGTAATGGAGCTGTAGACATCTTAGTGAAATGTGTTAATGGACCACAGGAAAACACAGGTCTGGTTATTATGGTATTCCAAGAGGACAGGCTAACAACTTCAGTATTATGTCGTCAATTATTATATATACAGTACCAGTCAAGAGTTTGGACACACCTACTCATTCAAGGGTTTTTCTTAATTTTTACATTGTAGAATAATAGTGCAGACATCAAAACTATGAAATAACACATATGGAATCATGTAGTAACCAAAGAAGTGTTAAACAAATCAAAATATATACACTGCTCAAAAAAATTAAGGGAACACTTAAACAACACAATGTAACTCCAAGTCAATCACACTTCTGTGAAATCAAACTGTCCACTTGGGAAGCAACACTGATTGACAATACATTTCACATGCTGTTGTGCAAATGGAATAGACAACAGGTGGAAATTATAGGCAATTAGCAAGACACCCCCAATAAAGGACTGGTTTTGCAGGTGGTGACCACAGACCACTTCTCAGTTCCTATGCTTCCTGGCTAATGTTTTGGTCACTTTTGAATGCTGGCGGTGCTTTCACTCTAGTGGTAGCATGAGACGGAGTCTACAACCCACACAAGTGGCTCAGGTAGTGCAGCTCATCCAGGATGGCACATCAATGCGAGCTGTGGCAAGAAGGTTTGCTGTGTCTGTCAGCGTAGTGTCCAGAGCATGGCGGCGCTACCAGGAGACAGGCCAGTACATCAGGAGACGTGGAGGAGACCGTAGGAGGGCAACAACCCAGCAGCAGGACTGCTACCTCCGCCTTTGTACAAGGAGGAGCAGGAGGAGCACTGCCAGAGCCCTGCAAAATGACCTCCAGCAGGCCACAAATGTGCATGTGTCTGCTCAAACGGTCAGAAACAGACTCCATGAGGGTGGTATGAGGGCCCGACGTCCACAGGTGGGGGTTGTGCTTACAGCCCAACACCGTGCAGGACGTTTGGCATTTGCCAGAGAACACCAAGATTGGCAAATTCGCTACTGGCGCCCTGTGCTCTTCACAGATGAAAGCAGGTTCACACTGAGCACATGTGACAGACGTAACAGAGTCTGGAGACGCCGTGGAGAACGTTCTGCTGCCTGCAACATCCTCTAGCATGACCGGTTTGGCGGTGGGTCAGTCATGGTGTGGGGTGGCATTTCTTTGGGGGGCCGCACAGCCCTCCATGTGCTCGCCAGAGGTAGCCTGACTGCCATTAGGTACCGAGATGAGATCCTCAGACCCCTTGTGAGACCATATGCTGGTGCGGTTGGCCCTGGGTTCCTCCTAATGCAAGACAATCCTAGACCTCATGTGGCTGGAGTGTGTCAGCAGTTCCTGCAAGAGGAAGGCATTGATGCTATGGACTGGCCCGCCCGTTCCCCAGACCTGAATCCAATTGAGCACATCTGGGACATCATGTCTCGCTCCATCCACCAACGCCACGTTGCACCACAGACTGTCCAGGAGTTGGCGGATGCTTTAGTCCAGGTCTGGGAGGAGATCCCTCAGGAGACCATCCACCACCTCATCAGGAGCATGCCCAGGCGTTGTAGGGAGGTCATACAGGCACGTGGAGGCCACACACACACACACTACTGAGCCTCATTTTGACTTGTTTTAAGGACATTACATCAAAGTTGGATCAGCCTGTAGTGTGGTTTTCCACTTTAATTTTGAGGGTGACTCCAAATCCAGACCTCCATGGGTTGATTAATTTGATTTCCATTGATCATTTGTGTGATTTTGTTGTCAGCATATTCAACTATGTAAAGAAAAAAGTATATCATAAGATTATTTCATTCATTCAGATCTAGGATGTGTTATTTTAGTGTTCCCTTTTTTTTATTGAGCAGTGTATTTTAGATTTTTGATTCTTCAAATAGCCACCCTTTGCCTTGATGACAGGTTTGCACACTCTTTGGCATTCTCTCAACCAGCTTCATGAGGTAGTCACCTGGAATGAATTTCAATTAACAGGTGTGCCTTCTTAAAAGTTAATTTGTGGAATTTCTTTCCTTCTTAATGCTTTTGAGCCAATCAGTTGTATTGTGACAAAGTAGATAGCCTTATACAAAAGATAGCATATTATGGCAAGAACAGCTCAAATAAGCAATGAGATACGACAGTCCATCATTACTTTAAGACATGAAGGTCAGTTAATACGGAACATTTCAAGAACTTTGAAAGTTTCTTCAAGTGCAGTCACGAAAACCATCAAGCGCTATGATGAAACTGGCTCTCATGAGGACCGCCACAGGAATGGAAGACCCAGAGTTACCTCTGTTGCAGGAGGATGAGTTCATTAGAGTTAACAGCCTCAGAAATTGCAGCCCAAATAAATGCATCACAGAGCTCAAGTCACACACATCTCAACATCAACTGTTAAGAGGGGACTGTGTGAATCAGGCCTTCATGGTCGAATTGCTGCAAAGAAACCACTACTAAAGGACACCAATAAGAAGAAGATATCTGCTTGGGCCAAGAAACCCGAGCAATGGACATTAGACCGGTGGAAATGTGTCCTTTGGTGTGGAGTCCAAATTTGAGATTTTTGGTTCCAACCGCTGTGTCTTTGTGAGACGCGGTGTGGGTGAACAGATGATCTCCACATATGTATTTCCCACCATAAAGCATGGAGGAGGAGGTGTTGTGGTGTGGGGGTGCTTTGCTGGTGACATTGTCTGTGATTTATTTAGAATTCAAGGCACACTTAACCAGCATGGCTACCACAGCATTCTGCAGCGATACGCTATCCCATCTGGTTTGGGCTTAGTGGGACTATCATTTGTTTTTCAACAGGACAATGACCCAACACACCTCCAGGCTGTGTAAGGGCTATTTTACCAAGAAGGAGAGTGATGGAGTGCTGCATCAGATGACCTGGCTTCCACAATCCCCCGACCTCAACCGAATTTAGATGGTTTGGGATGAGTCAGACGGCAGAGTGAAGGAAAAGCAGCCAACATGTGCTCAGCATTTGTGGGAACTCCTTCAAGACTGTTGGAAAAGCATTCCAGGTGAAGCTGGTTGAGAGAATGCCAAGAGTGTGCAAAGCTGTCATCAAGGCAAAAGGTGGCTATTTGAAGAATCTTAAATATAAAATATATTTTGATTTGTTTAACACTTTTTTGGTTACTACATGATTCCATATGTGTTATTTCATAGTTTTGATGTCTTCACTATTATTCTACAATGTAGGAAATAGTAAAACAAAGAAAAACCCTTGAATGAGTATGTGTTCTAAAACTTTTGATATATATATATATATAAATGAGAGAGAGAGAGTTTATATTGTTATGTACAAATATTTTCAGTGAATCTCCTTCATTAAGTATTTGCCATAAGCCCAGCAGGTTGAAAATGAAGAACTACAACCAAAAGCATGGAGCGAGAAAGGGAGATTAACAGTAAACATAAGGGGGCAATAGTAAGTAAGAAACAAAGTGGGAGCGAGAACATTTTATCAACCACTTGCAGAAATTGTATGGATCCATTTGTTCCCATTACCTGAAAAGAAGTTGTAGATGAAAGTGCCTTAGAAGAAGACTACAAACTCCTCCTTTGGTTGGGCTAATACGGCCAGTCCAATGTCTACAGTAGAAACACAGGACAGATAGACACACAGGAATCGCCACACCTTGCAGGAAACAGTCATTTAGTTATTTACAACCTCTTAGTCGTAGTGTTCACCTTCACTCCTGCCTCATGTGCTTCAAATCCTCCTGTACAGAAAATAACTTTTCTCCTTTAATGATAGATTTTTGTCCTCCATTTTGGATTTAGTCTTCATTTAAAAACACCCACACCCCTCTTATCCCTCCGGAGCCCTTCCATTGGGGGTTAGAACTGGGGGAGTGGCCTGGCAAGGTGGGAGAATGTCATTAGGCCAGTGAGATAGAGGGTCAGGAGGAAGAATGGAGTTTCAGCCAAGGGTATCATGTCTCTGGGAGCTGGCTGATGTCAGTCAAGTTGGTGTCGTTGAGGATGGCTCGGATACGGTCTAGAGAGTCAGCCTGTCTGATCCGCTCCAACTGGACCTGAGAGGAAGAGTGATTGAATGAGTGATTAATTGATATTCAATTTACTAGATGTAGAAATACACATACAGCCATGTAGATGACGTCTGACATCAGATGAGATACAGTAAAATAAATCACTATAAAATAGTGTTAAAAGCACTGATGAGGTGCTGTATATGGTTGCCATGGTAAGAGGTGTACTATAAGAGTTGGAGTACTGTTGCCATAGTAACACCACTATCATGTGGACCGAACTATCAAGTGTAAGGTCAGACCATAGAAATATAATGAATTCACTCTACTTCTATGGGTCAGACAAGGTAAAGATCCATTTGTCAAAGAGAAAGGTATGGCTAAGATCTACATCACAAATGTTGATTGAATACTATTATGCATTTTACAAGCAAGGAAGTGTTCCTCCAATTCTAGGAAGGCATGCATTGCCTACAAATAGACAAAGAGGCATGGTTCTACGTACAGTTGAAGTCGGAAGTTTACATACACTTAGGTTGGAGTCATTAAAACTCGTTTTTCAACCACTCCACAAATGTCTTGTTAACAAACTATAGTTTTGGCAAGTCGGTTAGGACATCTACTTTGTGCATGACAAGTAATTTTTCCAACAATTGTTTACAGACAGGTTATTTCACTTATAATTCACTGTATCACAATTGACATCATTTGATTCAATTGGAGGTGTACCTATGGATGCATTTCAAGGCCTACCTTAAAACTCAGTGCTTCTTTGCTTGACATCATGGGAAAATCAAAAGAAATCAGCCAAGACCTCAGAAAAAAAATTGTAGACCTCCACAAATCTGGTTCATCCTTGGGAGCAATTTCCGAACGCCTGAAGGTACCACGTTCATCTGTACAAATAATAGTACGCAAATATAAACACCATGGGACCACGCAGCCGTCATACCGCTCAGAAAGGAGATGCGTTCTGTCTCCTAGACATGAACGTACTTTGGTGTGAAAAGTGCAAATCAATCCCAGCACAACAGCAAAGGACCTTGTGAAGATGCTGGAGGAAACAGGTACAAAAGTATCTATATCCACAGTAAAACGAGTCCTATATTGACATAACCTGAAAGGCCGCTCAGCAAGGAAGAAGCCACTGCTCCAAAACCGCCATAAAAAAGCTAGACTACGGTTCGCAACTGCACATGGGGACAAAGATAGTACTTTTTGGAGAAATGTCCTCTGGTCTGATGAAACAAAAATAGAACTGTTTGGCCATAATGACCATCGTTATGTTTGGAGGAAAAAGGGGGTTGCTTGCAAGCCCAAGAACACCATCCCAACCGTGAAGCACGGGGGTGGCAGCATAATTCTGTGGGGGTGCTTTGCTGCAGGAGGGACTGGTGCACTTCACAAAATAGATGGGATCATGAGGAAGGAAAATTATGTGGATATATTGAAGCAACATCTCAAGACATCAGTCAGGAAGTTAAAGCTTGGTCGCAAATGGGTCGTCTTCCAAATGGACAATGACCCCATGCATACTTCCAAAGTTGTGGCAAAATGGCTTAAGGACAACAAAGTCAAGGTATTGGAGTGGCCATCACAAAGCCTTGACCTCAATCCTATAGAACATTTGTGGGCAGAACTGAAAAAGCATGTGTGAACAAGGAAGCCTACAAACCTGACACAGTTACACCAGCTCTGTCAGGAGGAATGGGCCAAAATTCACCCAACTTATTGTGGGAACCTTGTGGAAGGCTACCCGAAACGTTTGACCCAAGTTAAACATTTTAAAGGCAATGCTACCAAATACTAATTCAGTGTATGTAAACTTCTGACCCACTGGGAATGTGATGAAATAAATAAAAGCTGAAATAAATCCTTCTCTCTACTATTATTCTGACATTTCACATTCTTAAAATAAAAGTGGTGATCCTAACTGACATAAGACAGGGAATTTTTACTAGGATTAAATGTCAGGAATTGTGAAAAACTGAGTTTAAATGTATTTGGCTAAGGTGTATGTAAACTTCCGACTTCAACTGTAACCTAGAATACAAGTTTGAGTAAACACAGTTTGTGATCTCAGAGAGCCTAGGGGCCATGGTAACCCAACAGCGGTACTGTCCATACCTGGAGGCTCTGGGAGAGCTTGACAAAGTCCCTCTGCACCTGCTCACTAACATCCAGCTCCGTCTGTAACCGCTGGGCTTTGTCCTTCTCATCCAACGCCTGAGCCTCCAGGGCTGTCTGCCACCACACACACAGCACACTGAGTATCACTACTCCCACTCGATGTTGAGACTTATCACAGATAGTTGAGAAAGGAACAGCAGCAGCGGCCGGTTGTAACATACATGCCAGTGGAGGCTGCTGAGGGGAGGACAGCTCATAATAATGGCTGGAACAGAGCCAATGGAATGGCATCAAACACACAGAAACCATGTGTTTGATGTATTTGATACCATTCCACCCATTCTGTTCCAGCCATTACCACGAGCCCATCCTCCGCAATTAAGGTGCCACCAACCTCCTGTGATACAGACTGTCTGAGAAGTGAATGACCTCTGACCTTGGTTGTGGTGAGCTCTCTGAGCTGCTCATCCAGTCTGCTCTTCAGACCATGGACACTCTCTAATGTCTTGCTCTTTTCTGCCAGGCTGCTCTCCAACTGGGAAATGAGCACATCAATCACAGTTATTATCAACTACTGGCACAAACAGTCTACTACCAAACTCAAAGTCCTCCTGACTTCAGAGTCTGGGGAGGCTGTTTGATGTAGTCGGGACGATGTGTTGATAATGAAGGGGGCTGTGCCTTACTGGTAGGTTCTCCTCTGTGTCTTTCTCACTCAAACACCCACATGGACAGCCACACACGGAGTGTCACCTCCTTCCATTACAACTTGTTGGATTTTCAAATCCAAAACGAGAGGTCTCAACCCCCCAAGGACAAAAAACATTTGAGAGAACCAATCAATGTGTCCGCTCTCGAAAAGAGCGGAATATGGAATTAGAACGGCCTCCTGTCCAGACCAGTGGGGCACAGCTCTTCTCGTTGTGTCACGTGATCTGTGCGTCAGCTAGGCTACAGACAGACTACACTGCAGAGCAAAACAATTATGTTAAGCCAATGGTCTCCAACCCTGGTCCTGGTAGAGAGTTTGGTGCACAGGCTTTTGTTCCAGCTCAGTACTCAAACACCCAATTCAAATAATCAACTAAACCTCAAGACCTTGGTTAATTCAGGTGTGTACGTGCAAGGCTTGAGCAAATGCCTGCACACCCTGTAGCTCTCCGGAACCATGGTTGGTGACAACTGATGTTAGCCGTTGTAAATTAATGAGGTATTCACATAACACATTGGTGATGGTAAATAAACTCATTCACACCTACATTCATACATATTGTTCCACACGTTTCAAACAGCAACTACTACTCTAACAAGCCAGTGGTTTTAGGCCTTAGCTGGGATTATGTTATTGAAGGCAGCCACTCAAGACAATCTGACTTCACATTCAGAGGAGTGACACAGCAGTCTCCCTACAGTTCATGTACCTGTTCTTTCTCGGCTTTCACTCGCTCCAGCTCGGTTTTCAGACTGGAGAATGACGCTGGGGAAAAGAAAAACCAGATAAAATACTTATTAAAGTGTCATTATGATGGTAATCAGAACATCAACCCCAGACATGCGTTCTAGCATTCTAATGCAGGTCCTGAAAAATGTGTTGTCAATTCATGAATAACGCATTAGAGCTGTGTGGCTAGTCTTAAAGGGGGCGAATCTCCTCTGCCAAGGAGAGTGGTGTGTGTGTGAGAGATGTGTGTGTTACTAAGCAAGCAAACACACTGCTCCTCCATGCTATTAGACTGACACACAGAGCAATCAAGGAAGTGTTCATAACTTGGGCCAGAATTCAACAATTTTTCCACACTATAGCAGTATATTTGATTAAAATATACTGAAAATAAAATAAACAAAAAAGAAAGCTGTGATGTTATGCCATATTAATGGTATTAAATGGTTATTGTCATAACCATGCTAACTTAGAAGAGTGAAGTGAATGGCTATTACAGCATATAACAGGTGCCATGTCATGTCCATAATCCTCTCATGACCATACCAATTTGGCATGCCACATTTAAAAAAAACATTACTGCAGTGAGTGAGTTTCAGTGCCATACGGTCATTAATCCAACATGTACAGTATTAACACACACACACAAACAACCTAAGAAGGTTCGTCAGACAGTGTGTTTCGTACCTTCCAAGATGTCTGAACAACAGTCACCAACCGAGAAAAAAGGAGAGGAGAAAAATTAAGGTTTTAGAGGGAACAAAGGAAAGGAGGGGAAAAATCTTCAGAGAACTAGTGTCTTTGATGAAGTTCAAAGGAAAATACAGGCAATTTCATGGTGGAGAAGCAGAGTTCAGTTGCGCTGACAGGTTCAGTATGTGACCGCGAAGCTGAACACTTGCTCAGCACATGTTGTATCCCTTAACTCTCTAAATGTGTAGTGCTGAAACAACTACTGTAAATCATACAAGTTTGAGCTGACGTCTAACCATCATATTTAGCATCTCTGGCTCTTATAAAATGCAACTCAAGATTTTCTTTATTGCTCACATCAGATGTCCAGATAGCTCAACTCAGAGCCATAGATAAACAGCTACACCTGCCCAGGACATACAGATGAAATTGAAACTTTCTGTAAATCTGCCACATTAATCAATAGATATCTTGATTAATGAGCATGAGGATTATAGCACAACAAAGTTACTTTTCTCTGATCTATCCTTATGTGTCAAGCCTAAGGAATGGGAAGGTGAGCCTCACCTATCTCCTCCTTGCAGCCATCTATCTCCAGCTGTAGTGTGTCCTCCAGGTTCTCTTTGAGGCACTGCTCTGCCTGGAGTTGCTCCTTCAGGAACAGGATCTCCGCCTTCAGCTTCTCTTCCAGGTGGTCTGCAGCCGTGCGCACCGCAACTATGTCCTCCCGCAACTGTAGCACCAGGGGTTGTAGTTCCTAGAGGGGAGCAGAAATAGTTGCACGTACCAATTTAAGTGAGTCACAATGGGTATGAATGGTGAAAGAAGTACCTGATGGACAAGTAAATAGCTCGATGGTGTGAACCAGAGATGTCCGTCTGCTTCTGGGGACCGTGCACGTGGAGAAGTGTATGGCGATGACATACTCATACATTTCAGACCCAGTTGTTCCATCCCTTTCATACTTGTTACTATCAGTTCTTCCAAGATGTCTTTGTTTTCTTCATTTACTCCAACGTATTCCTATTTCAATCCCTCATTTAAAAAACCTTTTTAAGTCATTGAATACTGCGATATCTGAGTTTATATGGAAGGAAAAGACACCAATAACCATTAAGGTGGTTACGATGGTTTAGCTACCGCATTTTCATCAAGGTTTGGATTCACTCTAAAGACTTGTTCATGTTAAAGCGGTCAACAAGTACACTATAGAATCCTTAACACCCTGAAGGGCCCTAGTATGTTCTCCCTGCCAGTTCATTAACCAAAGTCAGTGAAATAGTAACTGGTCAGTCATGGTGATTGTTTTAGTTCTGAACGACAGATTCTGTGCAGGTCTGCTAACATTACTAGATCTTTAAAATTCCAGGTGTTGTTTTGTTTTTTTACCACATTAACATGACATAACACTCCTATAATTTGTACAGAATCTATGTATCTGGAACACAACCAAAGTCTTAGAACATTACTTGAAGCTAAATCTAGGCCTAAAATACATACCACCTTATCCTCCTTGGATTTAAATGTGGAATATTTGGAATATTACTGTTGTTTTCATCTTTGTCAATGCTATGTAAACATGCTATGTAAGCACGGGGGGAAAAATGAAGAGAGCCTGGATGGTCCTTGCAATGAACTCTTGTTTATTATTCAGATGTCAAGAGACATTCTTCTGTAAATCTATGAATTAGTGTGACAAAAAATAGAGGGCTCTCCTTTAGACTATTGAGATGCGACAGAGCAATTCTCAAAATGGTGGCTGTGAATAATTGTCTCGTACTTGCACCGTGGTGGGTAGTTTGAAGTCCTCCTGCTGCTGGAGAGATAAGTGGAGTCGGTGTTTGCCTGTTAGGCTGTCGTTGTCCCTCTGCAGTCTGCTCAGTTCCTCCGCCACCTGCTCCCTGGACTGCATCAGCACAGCCTGATTATGGCAAAAACAGCACTCCGTCAAATCATGTGTCATCATCCTGTTTCCTCCTGATGATTCAATATACTGTAAAATGGAACTGCCGGCCACAGAGACTACAAATGCCTACAAATGACATACCCCAACCAGAAGCCATGGATTACAGGAAACATCCGCACTGAGCTAAAGGGTAGAGCTGCCGCTTTCAAGGAACGGGACTCTAACCCGGACGCTTATAAGAAATCCCGCTATGACCTCCGACGAACCATCAAACAGGCAAAGAGTCAATACAGGTCTAAGATTGAATCATACTACACTGGCTCTGACGCTCGTCGGATGTGGCAGGGCTTGAAAACTATTACAGACTACAAAGGGAAGCACAGCCGCGAGCTGCCCAGTGACACAAGCCTACCAGACGAGCTAAACCACTTCTATGCTCGCTTCGAGGCAAGCAACACTGAAGCATGCATGAGAGCACCAGCTGTTCCGGATGACTATGTGATCACGCTCTCCGTAGCCGATGTGAGTAAGACTTTTAAGCAGGTCAACATTCACAAGGCCGCAGGGCCAGACGGATTACCAGGACGTGTACTCCGAGCATGTGCTGACCAACTGGCAAGTGTCTTCACTGACATTTTCAACATGTCCCTGACTGAGTCTGTAAAACCAACATGTTTCAAGCAGACCACCATAGTCCCCGTGCCCAAGAACTCTAAGATAACCTGCCTAAATGACTACCGACCCGTAGCACTGACGTCTGTAGCCATGAAGTGCTTTGAAAGACTGGTCATGGCTCACATCAACAGCATAATCCCAGAAACCCTAGACCCACTCCAATTTGCATACCGCCCCAACAGATCCACAGATGATGCAATCTCTATCGCACTCCACACTGCCCTTTCCCACCTGGACAAGAGGAACACCTACGTGAGAATGCTATTCATTGACTACAGCTCAGCATTCAACACCATAGTGCCCTCTAAGCTCATCACTAAGCTAAGGATCCTGGGACTAAACACCTCCCTCTGCAACTGGATCCTGGACTTCCTGACGGGCCGCCCCCAGGTGGTAAGGGTAGGTAACAACACATCTGCCACACTGATCCTCAACACGGGGGCCCCTCAGGGGTGCGTGCTCAGTCCCCTCCTGTACTCTCTGTTCACCCATGACTGCATTGCCAGGCACGACTCCAACACCATCATTAAGTTTGCCGACGACACAACAGTGGTAGGCCTGATCACCGACAACGATGAGACAGCCTATAGGGAGGAGGTCAGAGATCTGGCCGTGTGGTGCCAGGGCAACAACCTCTCCCTCAACGTGACCAAGACAAAGGAGATGATTGTGGACTACAGGAAAAAAAAGAGGACTGAGCACGCCCCCATTCTCATCGACGGGGCTGTAGTGGAACAGGTTGAGAGCTTCAAGTTCCTTGGTGTCCACATCACCAACGAACTATCATGGTCCAAACACACCAAGACAGTCGTGAAGAGGGCACGACAAAGCCTATTCCCCCTCAGGAGACTAAAAAGATTTGGCATGGGTCCTCAGATCCTCAAAAAATTCTACAGCTGCACCATCGAGAGCATCCTGACTGGTTGCATCACCGCCTGGTATGGCAACTGCTTGGCCTCTGACCGCAAGGCACTACAGAGGGTAGTGCGTACGGCCCAGTACATCACTGGGGCAAAGCTTCCTGCCATCCAGGACCTCTATACCAGGCGGTGTCAGAGGAAGGCCCTCAAAATTGTCAAAGACTCCAGCCACCCTAGTCATAGACTGTTCTCTCTGCTACCGCACGGCAAGCGGTACCGGAGTGCCAAGTCTAGGTCCAAAAGACTTCTCAACAGCTTCTACCCCCAAGCCATAAGACTCCTGAACAGCTAATCATGGCTACCCGGACTATTTGCACTGCCCCCCCACCCCATCCTTTTTACGCTGCTGCTACTCTGTTAAGTATTTATGCATAATCACTTTAACTCTACCCACATGTACATATTACCTCAACTACCTCAACTAGCCGGTGCCCCCGCACATTGACTCTGCAACGGTACCCCCCTGTATATATAGCCTCCCTACTGTCACTTTATTTTACTTCTGCTCTTTTTTTCTCAACACTTTTTGTTGTTGTTGTTTTATTCTTACTTTTTTTGCTTAAAATAAATGCACTGTTGGTTAAGGGCTGTAAGTAAGCATTTCACTGTAATGTCTGCACCTGTTGTATTCGGCGCATGTGACCAATAAAATTTGATTTGATTTGAAATGTGATTAGAGGGCAAACGTCTACTATCTGGCAGAGCATTCCATCACATTTCCACTAGCTCTCTTTTTGGCAAGATAAACTTCCTCCTTAATTACAGCAAGAAGATGGTTGCATCACTAAATCAAAAGGCACATGGAGCGATGGAATGTTCAAATTATTTTGCTGCTAACTTTATTTATACAGGCCTTCTGGCACAGACAGACAGTATTGAGACACTGGAGGCCCAAACAGAGGCTGTATTGAGAGGCTGTAGTGGATAACTGTTGCTCACCATCTGTTCCTGTGTGTTCCTCTTGGCCTGACTGAAGGCCTCTTGTAGTGTTTTAAGCAGTGACTCTGACTCCTGGACTCTCTGCATGAGAGCAGCGACCTGAGACAAAGCAAGAAATCCGCATGCTCCAGAGAATAACTGAACAAACATACAATCTAAAGAAAAAGAATGACGTATGCCGATTTATCCACATTCCAACAGTGAGCATTGTATATTCTTTGAAGATTAGAAATAACTCCTCAAACAATAAAAGAGCTAAGCATAAAGATTACTTTACGCTTTACTATACTTTACACTTTTTAGACTCTGAAGAGAGATATAGTGTGTGTGTGGTGTGTGTGTAAGGAGGACAGACCTTTGCAGTGGTTTCCTCGTTGCCCTGTTTCACAGAGTCCTCCAACTCTTGTTTTTCACTCATGGTTCTCTCCAGCTGGTCATTGGCCTGCCGCAGCATCACCTGGAGCTTCTTTACCTGAGAGAGACCAGCGAGACTTGGGACCAGCTAACTTGCACTCTTTCTTTCCCCCCATTCAATTAGGATTCTTGTCGTCAGATTTACTCTAATGCATATAGCTTAGTGGGAGCTACACAACAGATGACATGGAACATGGAAAGACTAAATATCACTAAAGATAACTTTGATCTATAACAAAATGCTTTAATTTTGGGATGAACTTTCCCTTTAAGTATCCTTGACATAGGTGTATATATCACAGAAAGTTAAACTGTAATAGAGTGCCACAGTGAGTGAGAGAGAGGGTGTTACTTGATCACGTGTCTCTGCTTCCTGGCCCTGGATGACCTGCAGCTGTTTTTCATAGTTGGAGCACATGTCACACCGCCGTCCCAACTTCCTCCCCGCATTCTTCACCTAGTGACAGACAGCCAAGAATGAATTTAGGAGGAATACCACATGTTAAATACAAAATATTTATATAGAAACCCCGAGCTGTCCATGTGTGCAAACCAAACTGTACACAATTCATAGCAGTGTAAAGATTGTTTACTTTATTCTACAGGAACATTTCAACACCTAGGCTACATTGTATTTTCCTAATAGTAACAAATACAGTACTTGGTACTAAATTATACTTATTGGTGCTTTTGAACCAAAGTGGTTATGGGATTACAAGCCAACAACTATTACCATGCAAACAAGGTATAGCGTACAATATCGTACTGCAAAACAAAGCCCAACCAAACCATCATACAATTTAAATGAACCAAAACACTGTATGAAACTGTCTGACCTCTTGCTGTAGCAGGTTCCACTCCTGGTCGCTGACCAGCCGGTAGCCTGACGGGGTCAGGAAGGCGGTGTCAGGGGCGTGGGAGATGCTGGACATCAGTGAGGCCGTCTCCTCCTGCTCTGGCGTCATGGCCTTGATGGCCTTCTCCTGGTCCTGGATCATATCAAATACATTTTTTTAAACTGCATTTAAAAAAACTCAATTGTTTTACAGACACAATACATGAAAGTATTATAAAGGTAGATTTAAGACCTTGGTGAGCAGGAAGTGGCCGGCTGTCAGCTGGATGGAGCTGACCGATAGTGTGTCCCCAAAGCCCGCCAGGCCCTCAGGGGCCCCGCAGTCCGCCCCCACCAGGGGTCCGAAGTCGGACTCATCCAGGTGGCTGGCCGACTTGGCCTTATGGTTGTGGACCCCCAGGCCCTGGAGACCAGGAGAGGAACCCAGGCTGTCTGTGGACTGGACCCTCCGCAGGCCGTCTTTGTAGGGGTCCATAGGGCCCCCTGCCACCAGGTCAGAGTCTAAGGAGTGCATAGAGCCGTGGGCGCTGTGGGGCTGGAGGAGAGAAGAGGGAGGGAGAGAGTGGTTGTAATGATGAGAAGTAGACGAGTAGCACCTCAGGCTGTGTTCACACAGGCAGCCCATTCAGATCTTTTGCCAATTATTTACACTACAGTTCAAAAGTTTGGGGTCACTTACAAATGTCCTTGTTTTCGAAAGAAAAGCATTTTTTTTGTCCACTAAAATAACAACAAATTGATCAGAAATACAGTGTAGACATTATTAATGTTGTAAATGGCTATTGTAGCTGGAAACTGATTATTTTTAATGGAATATCTACATAGGCGTACAGAGGCCAAGAAATTGCCAAGAAACGGAAGATCTCGTACAACGCTGTGTACTATTCCTTTCACAGAACAGCGCAAACTGGCTCTAACCAGAATAGAAAGAGGAGTGGGAGGCCCCGGTGCACAACTGAGCAAGAGGACAAATACATTAGAGTGTCTAGTTTGAGAAACAGGCGCCTCACAGGTCCTCAACGGGCAGCTTCATTAAATAGTACCCGCAAAACACCAGTCTCAACGTCAACAGTGAAGAGGCGACCCTGGGATGCTGATCTTCTAGGTAGAGTTGCAAAGAAAAAGCCATATCTCAGACTGGCCAATAAAAAGAAAAGATTAAGATGGGCAGTCTGAGATATGGTTTTTCTTTGCAACTCTGCCTAGAAGATCAGCATCCCAGAGTCGCCTCTTCACTGTTGACGTTGAGACTGGTGTTTTGCGGGTACTATTTAATGAAGCTGCCAGTTGAGGACCTGTGAGGCGCCTGTTTCTCAAACTAGACACTAATGTATTTGTCCTCTTGCTTTTCTTTCGAAAACAAGGACATTTCTAAGTGACCCCAAACTTTTGAATGGTAGTGTACATAACAGATTCCCATCTGATCTTTTCCCTAACGTGTAAACAGCAAAAAAGAACACATGGAATCTGATCTTTTGACTTCTCATTTATACCACCTCCATATGTGGATCTGAATCCTGATACAAACCCGATCCTCCATATGCGACCTGTCTGGTCGTTCAGATTAGATATTTTTTTGCACATGTCCTGACGTTACCGTCACAACCACCCCAAAATGTAAAGGAACAGTGACAGAAAATAAGCATTGCATCGGTGTGCTACTTCAGAGGCTACATCAGTGTGAATGCCCAAATCTGATATGGGTCACATGTAAAACAGTGTGACAGTCAGACATTTTTTTGGGATATAGAAAGAAAATCAGATTTGGGTTCTTAGGGTGGCTGTGTAAACACAGCCTCAGAGATGCTGAGAATGACACAGAGTGAGAGAAAGAGAGAAAAGGGGTGTGGATGTGCTTTGGTTGTGAGTGCGATGTCAAAACTGCAGTGTCAAGATTGGAAATGAGAGGTGCATTGTCAGCAGAGAATAGTGCTTCGAACAAAATCACATGCTTTAGACCAATTTCTGGAATACTTATGTTAGTGTTATTAAAGAATTTCTCCAAGCCATTTAAGGAGATGGCATTTCAGACCACATTTGACCATGCTTGTCACAGCGGATTAGGTGGAGAAGTTAACCTTTTACCTTCAACGAGGAAACAAGTCAATTGTGAAGATGTGGAGTTACAATGTTCATATTTATGGCCATTTCATATTCAATATGAACTCAAGAGATAATGTTTTATAGGGCGGTTGTCCTCTCAAGAGGATCATGTGTGTCTGGGGTATGTGCTCTCTGTAAGGTGTTGGTGACATCATAGCCATACCTCTTCAATACTGAGCCCAAGGAATGAGTCTTCTAAAGGTTCGGTTTCTGTCCTGTCTTCCTCGTTCTGCTCCTTGGCCTGGCTGATCCTTTCCTTCTCATCCTCCTCCTGGGGGAAACAAACACAATGTCAATAAATGGTCTACACTTTGACAGGGTATTTCTACCTTTTTAACTGACTGGCATTCCCTTAAGCGCACATGCACACACAATATCCTGTCAAATTGTCTGTCATTACACAGTCACTATTTACTCTATTCCTCATATATTGTCTGATACAACCTTGCACAGCCAAACACACCCCTGGCCACTAACCCCCCCCCCCCCACACCCCTTTTGACTTTAGGTGTGAGTACCTGGTCCCGCTTCTTGATCTCCTCCACCTGGCGGAGCTGCTCAGAAGAGAGCACGTTCTCGATCCTCTGCATGTCCCTCATCAGCAGCCTCTGGGACTCCAGGAACTGGTCGTTGGCCCGCTGCCACGTGTGCTTCAGCTGGTTGTGCTGCTGCCGCTCCAGCTCCAAGAGGTGACACACTGACCATGGGAGAAAAAACATGACAGACAGACAGACAGATATATATATATAGCGAGAGATAGATAGCGAAAAAGAGGGACAATACTGTGCTGTACTTCTGTATTGAAGTTTCTTACATCTCTTATCCTTAAGTTTGACAGCATGCTTTCAAATAAAGCTTTACGAGTGTGTCACCTTCGTGGAGCTCTTTGCGTAGTTTCTCTGCGTCCTCCTGAAGGACAGACTTCTGAGTGTTGAGCACCGCCACGTACATCTCCAGGTCTGTGCGGGAGGATTTCTCTGCTTCCAGGACATGATTGAGCTCCTTTCCCTACAGAATGAAAACAAGTCATTTATCAGTAACTCAAATGACATATTTCAACTGAAAGCCATTTTTAGAAAGTATTTCTTCCACTGTATCACTTCAGACAGTTTTGCCTAGATTATTTGCCTATAAATGTCATAAATAATCAACCTAAATTCATGTTCCTTTGCATACGGTCTAGATTAGGGGTCGGCAAAACCGACCCGCAAGTGATTGTTTTTGTTTTAGTTTTGGGGGGGTTTTAAACTGAAAAATCACCAGGAATTCAGCTAAAAAATTAGTTTAATTTAGGAAATCTGTTCCCAAGAGACGTATGTGATTGTGTCTCAATGTAATTCAAAGTATGAAATTATTATTTTCAAATACAATCTCTTTTTAGGCTTAGTTGTGGTCAATTTGCAGTGTACAAATTATTATAATTATGTTCGGGCCCCCTGACCATCCACTCCGACAGAAATCGACCCGCGGCTGAATCTTGCCTACCCCTGGTCTAGATATAATCCATACCTCAATTGACATCTTGGATGGATAAGATTGTTTTCTTAATAAAATAAGCATGAAGATCTTGTCTGTGTTGTAAAAGTCTTCAGTTTTCCTTTCCAGACCCTTTTAACTAACCTTCGAGGCCTCCAGCTCCTTCACCCTGTCCTCTGCCACAGTCAGTTTGACTTTCAGAGCTGCTATCTCCTGCTCCATGGGCATCACCACCGACCGCAGCTTCTCTGCATCTTCCTGGGCCTGGGGGAAAACACATTAAAATCAAGTAAGTCCAACTTTATTGACAGTGAATCAAAACAGACACAATGGCTACAAATAAGTAAAATCTAAAACAAAAGCGGTCAATTCCATTTCAATTCCAGAAGTAATATAACATTCCAATTCTCTTCGAGGCTTCTCTAAGAGAAAAATTATGAAATTAAATTAAATTGACTGAATTGCAATGGAATTGCCCCCAACCCTGATGAAAGGATTAATGTACTTTGATGACCCCCCTGGTGTGAAACCAGCCAACCTTCTTCATGTCGTTCTCCAGGTTCTCCTCCTCCTGGCCGCCCTCAGAGAGGCGGTGTCTCAGCTCGCCCATCTCCCTCTCCACCACCTCCCTGTACTGGTTCCATTGGGCACGCTCCTGCTCCAGGCGCTGGTGGAACTGCACCTCGTACTCACGCACTGTGTCTGAGGGGGGAGGGGAGGTGACCGCATCGACTGGTACTGTGTTGTGTTATAACTGATCCTCAGTGTAAAGAGTAGCAGTGGATTTTCAAATCAGGCTTTATTTAACATAATACACTTTATTTGACCCCCACTTTATTTGATCAAATAAACTGCTGACAGAATTTTTATCCTATTCTATTTTAATTTCTGCAGGTCAAGCTAAGATACTACATCAAGGCTGTAACAGAAGCAGGGCAATGACATGGGATCAAAATGACTGCATTTCATTAAAGTCTAGAGTAAATGTTACATGGGTTATTTACAGATACTGAAAGCCTTCCAACAGCGTCATCAACTAGATACTGAATGGCAAAATGACGGCCAGAGGAGGCAATGTAGAGTTAGCCTGGCTACAGTACCTTTCATGATGGCCTGTAGTGAGGCCACCTCCTCCTGCCACTGTCCCTTGACCTGGTCAATGGCCTCCTGCTTGGTGCTCTCTGACACAGTGGCCACCGCCTTGATGTTCTCCATGTCTGCCTGGGCCTGTTCCAGCTGGGCCTGGACACGACTCAGCTCCGACTGGGCCCCCTCCAGAGACGCTGCCTGAAACTTCAGTTCCTCTGGGAGGAAAGAGAGAGGAACAGTGAGGAAAATAAAGGAGGTAACCCATGATAAGATCGGATATGTTCCAGGAGACCAGAGTTCATATTCATGAAGCTAACTACATGAGCTTACTATTAGCAATATGGCATAATGCCGACAGCAGATTGAACAGTCACCTTCTTTGGACAGGTAGAGCTCTTTGAACTTGGCCCGTTTCTGGTTGAACTCAGACTCCAGTTGCTGTTTGAGCTTGACGAACTCAGCTCTCTCCTGCTCCAAGGATGCCACTCGCTGCTGGAGCACCGCTAAGAGAGAGGACAAAACAAGAACACTAAAGAAACTTCCAGAAAAAAAAAGGTATTTTTCTACACACTGCAATACAGCCAGCCTGAAAGCCGTGATTTCATTTATTTAAAAGGGCAATCCATAATTTAAGTTAAGTTTTGGTATTGCCCAGGCTGGACTGAATGGGAGGGTCACTTGGTCTTCACTTCAACAATAATCCCTGTTGGTGTTGGTTATGATACAATAAATGGAGGTCTAACTTGTGGACAAATCAATCTCACTAATTGTAGCCAATCAAAAGGACAACACCTGTGCAGTACAAAATACCAAGCAGCATTCTAGGGGCAGGACCCATTAGTATTTAATGACTGTATTAGCATAGTGACTGTGTTAGCAAGAAGTTTGACCAGAAAGACATGTCCACGAGAACAAAACAAAGACCTTTGACATAGGCCTGATCATCAACAAACTCCGGGGGGTTTCCAAGTTGGTAAAAGTGTTTACGTTATTACATATAAAACAGCATGAGTTGCCTGGAAACTTACTTCCCAAAAGATCATTCCTCGTGTCCAACAAAATGGTTATACAATAGCTCAGTAATATAACTTACTTTTTAGAGTCAATCTCTAGCTCAAAAAGTACACTAGTTACCGGTTCCAATCTTTGATGATTTGGGGTTTTTGGCCTACTTGGGGCATATCTCTCCACTAGCTTTATGCTACATACTGTACAGCTTTTCCCATTCAAATCCAATGTTATTTGTCACATGCGCCGAATACAACGGGTGTAGACTTTACATTGAAATGCTTGCTTACGAGCCCTTCCCAACGATGCAGAGTTATAAATAAGAAAATAAGGAAAATACAAATAGAAACACAAGAGGAATAAAATACACAATAATTAAGCTATATGCAGGGAGTACCAGTACCATAACACAGTGCAGGGGTATGAGTTATTTGAGGTAGATATGTACATAAAGGCAGGGTAAAGTGACTAGGCATCAGAATAGATAACAGTAAGAGTAAAATAAAGAATAGATCAGCAGCATAGGATGAGTGTGAATGTATGTATGTTTGCATGTGTGTTTGCATGTGTGTATGCGGCATCGGTGTGTTTGTGTAGTATGTATATGTACAGTAGTGTATGTAAATGTTTATATACAGAATATAGTCTTGTGAGTGTGCATAGAATCAGTGCAAGATAAGGTCAATGCAGATAGTCCGGGTAACCATTTAATTAACTATTTAGCAGTCTTATGGCTTGGAGGTAGAAGCCGTCTCGGAGCCTGTTGGTCTGAAAGCCGATGCGCCGGTACCATTTGATGGACGGTAGCAGAGTGAACAGTCTATGACATGGGTGGCTGAAGTCTTCTGCAATTGTTCAGGCCTTCTTGACACCGCCTGATATAGAGGTCCTGGATGGCAGGGAGCTCGGCCCCAGTGATGTACTGGGCCGTCCGCACCACCCTCTGTTGCGCTTTGCGGTCGAGGGCGGTGCATTTGCCATACTATGCAGTAATATCGTCAGATCAGTGTTGCCTTTTGTAAAGCCTGTCTGAAGTCAATTAAATGTTTTATTTCACTCATTTAGCACCTGGTGAATGTAGCCTCAATAATAATAATAAGCATTGTATTTTATATAGTGTTTTCATTACAAGTAGAATCTCAAAGTTGTTATAAAAACAAACTAAACCAAAAACATTAGGCTGAACTGAGGACAGATATTGAGCACCTCTACTTAGGACAACTCCTAGGAATGGCATACAAGTCAGAGTTAGAGGCCATTAAAATTAACAGAGGTGTGAAAATGTCAGCTCGTATATATTTCAGAGCATGACATTTTTCAGAGAGGGATGACATCAGTAACAGAACATCCATTGACAATTCATTATCTCCATTGCCAGATTTGGTGTAGATACAGTACCAATCAAAAGTTTGGTTTTTTTTTTTTTTTTTTTTTTTCATTGTAGAATAAAAACCAAAAAAGTGTTAAACAAATCAAAATATATTTTAGATTTCAGATTCTTCAAATAGCCACCCTTTGCCTTGATGACAGCTTTGCACACTCTTGGCATTCTCTCAACTAGCTTCACCTGGAATGCTTTTCCAACAGTCTTGAAGGAGTTCCCACATATGCTGAGCACATGTTGGCTGCTTTTACTTCACTCTGCCGTCCGACTCATCCCAAACCATCTCAATTGGGTTGAGGTCGGGGGATTGTGGAGGCCAGGTCATCTGATGCAGCACTCCATCACTCTCCTTCTTGGTAAAATAGCCCTTAGCCTGGAGGTGTGTTGGGTCATTGTCCTGTTGATAAACAGATGATAGTCCCACTAAGCCCAAACCAGATGGCATATCACTGCAGAATGCTGTGGTAGCCATGCTGGTTAAATGTGCCTTGAATTCTAAATAAATCACAGACAGTGTCACCAGCAAAGCACCCCCACACCATAACACCTCCTCCTCCATGCTTTATGGTTGGAACTAATATGCAGAGATCATCCGTTCATCCACACTGCGTCTCACAAAGACACAGCAGTTGGAACCAAAATTCTCCAATTTGGACTCCAGACCAAAGGACAAATTTCCACTGGTCTAATGCCCATTGCTCGTGTTTCTTGGCCCAAGCAGGTCTGTTCTTATTATTGGTGTCCTTTAGTAGTGGTTTCTTTACAGCAATTCGACCATGAAGGCCTGATTCCCACAGTCCCCTATAAACAGTTGATGTTGAGATGTGTCTGTTACTTGAACTCTGTGAAGCATTTATTTGGGCTGCAATTTCTGAGGCTGGTAACTCTAATGAACTTATCCTCTGCAGCAGAGGTAACTCTGGGTCTTCCATTCCTGTGGCGGTCCTCATGAGAGCCAGTTTCATCATAGCACTTGATGGTTTTTGCGACTGCACTTGAAGAAACTATCAAAGTCTTTGACATTTTCCATATTTACTGACCTTCATGTCTTAAAGTAATGATGGACTGTCGTTTCTTTTTGCTTATTTGAGCTGTTCTTGCCATAATATGGACTTGGTCTTTTACCAAATAGAGCTATCTTCTGTATACCCCCCCTACCTTGTCACAACACAACTGATTGGCTCAAACGCATTAAGGAAAGAAATTCCAGAAAATAACTTTTAAGAAGGCACACCTGTTAATTTAAATGCATTCCAGGTGACTACCTCATGAAGCTGGTTGAGAGAATGCCAAGAGTGTGCAAAGCTGTCATCAAGGCAAAGGGTGGCTACTTTGAAGTATCTCAAATATATTTGGATTTGTTTAACACTTTTTTGGTTACTACATGATTCCATTTGTGTTATTTCAGAGTTTTGATGTCTTCACTATTATTCTACAATGTAAATAAATAGTAAAAATAAAGAAAAATCCTTGAATGACTGGTAGTGTAGTTTGACAAAATTGGCAAGAATCCTGCTAATTTAATTCAGTCATAGGCTCAATTTATCAAGACATTTTGGCTAACAATTTATCTGTGTGGCTACTACTGGCAAACTAGCTAGAGTCTGGAACTCCAAATTGGTCCATGTTCCGTCCTAGCTCTCGAAAACCCTTGGCTCCATGTGGACTAAAAATTCGGACACTGTCTTTCAACATTTAGGAAAGTCAATAATCATCGTTTTTTAAACATATGCACCTTATCTTTCTTATCAGAGAGAAATACAGGGATGATTTCTGTATTTTGAAAGTTAGATATCTTGAAAACTTGATTGCTTACATGCAAAACGTTTTGGGACTATGTCAACAATGGACAAATGAAACAAATAGCAAACGATCGTTTGAGTGGAGTTTTCCTTTAACATGGAGATTTGGCCATGTGGGAACATTAACCCTAACCCTATGAAAAGGTGTGTAGTAATTTAACCTTCTGTTTTTTGGAAAATTATTTATCACTTATATCAAAGATCCGTTCCTTGAATTTCCAAAAACGTACGGCAAACGATGCGTGTTATTGTTTAGGGCAAGCGTCGGGCTCTTATGCAAACTCCCCCGGGCAAAAGACGCTAAAGTAGTTAGTATCTATGAATGGGGTAGTCCCCTACTAACTACTTAACGTTAGCTGTATAGCTTTTGTCTACTCTAACTAACTTACATTTTGCAAACAAGGGGATGGACAACTAACGTTAGCTAAATGACTGAATATTCATGTTTCAATAAATACTGTTTTCGAAAACGTTTGATACTTGTACAAATGTCACTGCCACTAACGTTATCCCTTTTCCAGTTTCCACTGCGTCGAAGGTCTCGCCTACTACTGTCAAGGGATGCAAAACAACAATGACAGGTAGGTAGCTAGCTAGTTAGCACCAACACAGTTCGACTAACTAGCAAGCGCCAGGATGGATGCATTTATTTTCCAACACAAAGTATGCAAATCTAGTTTGGGGCCTGTGTAGCTCGCTATGTATATATATATCCATTGAGAACATTGAAATAATGTCCAGGGAGAGGGAGTGACACGTCGGTGATGGTGCTAGCTGAGCCCGAGGATTCACAGGCCGCTTACCGATCTGGATTAGCTCGAGACTTCACCACATAAAGACTACCAAAAAATAACTATCTTTACCGTCATGATGGGGCTGCCGGGCGGATCCCGAGGCCTGGTCGGCCATGGTTTCCAGGGGATGGAATTGCAATAACCGGCGCGGTGTGTGAGAAAGCTATCTAGCTATTAGGAGTGTCCAAGCAAACAGGCTGCTTGAAGTGCTTGCTACATGGAAGACAACGTCATTGGAGAAACAGCTCACTACGCATGTGTGAACACTACTACAGAAACATAGGGGGTTACCACAGTCACAATTAGCTATATCCCAGATGATCCATTATATTGACCAGATACTCTAGTGGCTGCTCTAACAACGAAAATGCATTTCTTCAAAAATGGAAGGCAGTCGGTAGGAGGCAAGATAAGGTTGGACCATTCTAGCCAATGAGAGGGCAGATACGTATGTGAACAACAGGCACAATGGTTACCACAGCCACAAAGTCAACATTTGGCTATGTGGTAAAAATTAATGAAAACAAAAATGTGCTTTTTTGTTTTCATTCAAGGTTAGGGTTAGGCATAAGGTTAGCAGTGTGGTTATGGTTAGGTTTAAAATCCCATTTGAAGAAGATACAATGTAGAAATAGGCGGGGTTTATGACTTTGTGGCTGTGGTAACTAGAGACGACCAGGCACAACTCCGATATAAAGTGTTTTTTCTCAAATTTGCCGGGATGTCACGTGTCCTACTCGTATCAGTACACTCCTAACAACCTAATCCTTACGAAACTTCTAATTTATCAAATAAACTACACATTGAAGACCGAATGCGCCCCTGGAGCAAAAGGAATTTGACACCCCTGGCGTAGAGCTTCCTATTGGCTGCTTCTGATCATTTCCAAGTGGGAAACGTGAAGCTCATCTTTTGCCGCATTCAGGTCATGTCGGAGTGATCGGAGGAAGGACTTGCCTACTTCAACGGAACGATTTGGGCATTCACATGCTCAGAGCTTGGAAGGAACACAATAACCATTCAAATCAAATTGTATTTGTCACATGCGCCGAATACAACAGGTGCAGACCTTACAGTGAAATGCTCACTTACAAGCCCTTAACCAACATTGACCGCCTTGTTTGTTGCCATTTTCAGTGGTGCATGGTGTCAGAGTTCAGCATGTGGGAAAGTTCAGGGTCCAGAGATCATACCCAAGTTTCCTAGTCATCATTACAAGTTGGAGGGGCGTTCATATGCATTTTTCCCAGTAGGAAGGTCGCATTTACGAGTTCCCGACATGACGTGAACGCGGCATTTATACAACGAGGTTCCAAGTCGGAAATGTCAGAATTTCTGAGTTGTTTTGAACGCACCATCTGTCTAGACGTCACATCCTATATGTCATGATGTCATTCAGTATGTGGTGCTTTCATCCAAGACAAGATAACTTTGAGTCAAACTACTTGCTGAACTATCCATAGCAACTAGCTAACAAATTAGATAATATTGACAGCCACATACACACACTCTCTCTCACTCTCTCTCTCCCCTTCCCTCACCGCCTCACCCATCCACACACACTGCATGGTCTCAACAGCTCAACAGGGTCTATTAAAGTATCTGAACCAGTGGAGCGGAGTGGGGTGGGGGAAGTAACTGGGAGTTCTTTAAATATGATTGAGAGGAAATGAGTTGGCTGAAGGCTGCAGATCTCATAAATGCATCATGAACGCATAAGAGTTTCGCTATCTTCTGTACACAGCTTAGAACTGAGAATATCATTGACCCACACAACCCTAGTTTTCAGCTGTTTGACTTTCCTTGTAAGGTAAGGCATATGCTATCAATTTGAGTGTATTCTATTGACATAAGAACAAGAAAATGCTTCTTTGTTACCAAAATATTTTCTTCTAGCGTACTATGAAACTGTGCTGACCATAGAACATTATTGTAAAATAAATACAATAGGTGATATTGTTATTGTTTTATTATAGTGTTGATAAAATAACTCATACATTATATGAAAATAACCTACAGAGTCAAGCTGAGGTTTATTTTGTATGATAATTACTGTTGGTGATGGTAGTTTACACTGCAAGATAACAAATAAAGGACTAATTTATCATGTATGCTGAGATCTACTGTTAAAGTATAATAAATACAAATTTAACAACATCTTTTGATTGTGCATAAATAATCACTCTCTCTCGTCAAAAAATTATATTGCCCGAAAGTTATTTAAACACATTGTTCTATAAAAACGTATGCAGCTGTGAAAGGATCTTTTACATCAAACTCTGGTCACAGAGATAAGTGTGAATTAGTACCATTTACCAGCTATGTCTGTGGCAAACACAGTTCATGAGAAATTAAAAAACATAATTAATTATAGCTAAAATGTCAATTTAATATTATATGTCAATTATATAATGTCAATTATATGACAATTATATGTCAATGTCAATTTAGCATATATGTAAGGGTGCTCAGGATTGAGCTTGACTGTCAAAAAAGCTGAAGAATTAGAGATGTCACAACAAGTTATGTAAAAATCGAATCACTTTTTGCCTTACACCTTTAATGTAGTACAATTGTCTGCTCATATACAGTGCAGGCTAAAATAACCAGATGACTTGGTCAGCTCAGAAAAGGGGAAGTGACATGCCATGGAGACTCAGAACAAAACTTGCATGTTCAAAGTCCCGCTCATGTTTCCAATAAAGCAGAACTGTACTGAAAAGTAGAAATGCAGAACAACATTGATTCCATTTCTATGGAATCTCAAGTTCATAATCAGTTACTTACATGTATATTTTGGCTCTTGTGCGCAGTGGACTAGATCACAAATGGCACCTTTACGAGAATTCTTGCTGTGGGTGGTTCTTGGAATGATTTTTGTATCCTTGGTAATAGGCCTCATCTTTGTCCTTATCAACAAGTGTATCTCCAAGAAAGGTATGTATTTTCAATGATGCTATTACACTGAACAAAAATATAAATCCAACATGTAAAGTGTTGGTCGCATGTTTCATGAGCTGAAATAAAAGATCCCAGAAATGTTCCATACACACAAAAAGCTTATTTCTCTCAAATGTTGTGCACAAATTTGTTTACATCCCTGTTAGTGAGCATTTCTCCTTTGCCAAGATAATCCATCCACCTGACAGGTGTGGGATATCAAGAAGCTGATTAAACAGCATGATCATTACACAGGTGCACCTTGTGCTGTGGACAATAAAAGGCTACTCTAAAATGTGCAGTTTTCTCACACAACACAATCCACATATGTCTCAAGTCTTGAGGGAGAGTGCAATTGGCATGCTGACTGCAGGAATGTCCACCAGAGCTGTTGCCAATAATTGAATATTCATTTCTCTACCATAAGCCTCCTCCAATGTCATTTTAGAGAATTTGGCAGTACGTCCAACCGGCCTCACAACCGCAGACCACATGTAACCACGCCAGCCTGGGACCTTCACATCCGGCTTCTTCACCTGCGTGATCGTCTGAGACCAGCCACCTGGACATCTGATGAAACTGTGGGTTTGCACAACTGAAGAATTTCTGCACAAACTGTCAGAAATCGTCTTAGGGAAGCTCATCTGCGTGCTTGTCATCCTCATCAGGGTCTTGACCTGACTGCAGTTCGGTGTCATAACCAACTTCAGTGGGCAAATGCTCACCTTCAATGCCCACTGGCACACTGGAGAGGTGTGCTCTTCACGGATGAATGCCGGTTTCAGCTGTACCAGGCAGATGGTAGACAGCGTGTATGGCGCCATGTGGGCGAGCTGTTTTCTGATGTCAGCGTTGTGAACAGAGTACCCCATAGTGGCGGTGGGGTTATGGTATGGGCAGGCATAAGCTACGGACAATGAACACAATTGCATTTTATCTATGGCAATTTGAATGCACAGAGATACCGTGATGAGATCCTGAGGCCCATTGTCGTGCCATTCAACCACTGCCATCACCTCATGTTTCAGCATGATAATGCACGGCCCAATGTAGCAAGGATCTGTACACAATTCCTTGAAGCTGAAAATGTCCCAGTTCTTCCATGGCCTGCATACTCACTAGACATGTCACCCATTGAGCATGCTTGGGATGCTCTGGATCGATGTGTACAACAGCGTGCTCCAGTTACCGCCAATATCCAGCAACTTCGCACAGCCATTGGAGAGGAGTGAGACAACATTCCACAATCAACAACCTGATCAACTCTATGCGAAGGAGATGTGTCACGCTGCATGAGGCAAATGGTGGTCACACCAGATACTGACTGGTTTTCTGATCCACGCCCCTACCTTTTCTTTAAGGTATCTGTGACCAACAGATGCATATCTGTATTCCCAGTCATGTGAAATCCATAGATTAGGGCCTAATGAATTTTTTTCAATTGACTGATTTCCTCATATGAACTGTAACTCATTAAAATCTTGAAATTGTTGCGTTTATATTTTTGTTCAGTGTACATCACTAGAAGCACTATTGTGAGCATTTCAGGTCCATTTTCATCACTACTTATGATATGAACATTATTTTTCAAAGTATGTGCACATCTATCTTATATTTTTTACAGCTGCTGAACAATCCAATACAAATACACCAAGTCACACAATGCCTGAGTGTTATGCCCGGTAAGTCACTTGCACTATTCCGTTTTCAGCTTATGTAGATGTAACCTACATTTGTATTGACATTATATAGAGATTGATTTTGTTGTTCATTACCCCAATTAATACCACAATTTTTGTCCTCTATTCCCCGCAAACTTTTGAATCGATATAGGGCCATTTGTTTTAGGCATTCTCAGTAGTCTGGGGGAGGGAGAGGGGGCTTGTCAAAAGTATTTTCCAAGGTGGACACCTAATTTCTAGGGTTTCTCCTAATGGTTTCTTCCTTATCCAGGAGCAGCAAATATCATCCCAAAGATCTGGAGGATGATTTGCCTCCTTTACCACCCAGGACTCAGTTTCTCACATCCTGCCCCGGTAAACATCAGGTTTCATGGGATGAGCCTTGAAATGCAATCATGAGCACACAATGGGAGTACTATTACACAAGGATAAAGCTGTTGTGTTATAACATTCACAATAGGAACCTTTAAGCCCACAGTAAGAAAACACTTTTTGGGCACCTGTACAATGTCAACCTCAACTGTCAATAATGTGTGTGTCTTTGCTTTCCAGAGACCGAAAGCTATGAGAACCTTGCAGACCTACCCTACAATGTGAAAGTAGATAACAAGGCCCCTCCTCCGCCGTACAATCACACAGAGACAGTGGTGTGTCAGGACGTGTGCCATGACTGTGACAGCATCTCAGAGGACTATGATGACATCGTAGCAGACTTTCAGAGTGAGGAGGACTATGATGATGTGGGATAAGGCCAGAGGCAACAGAGACTATACTAGACACTGTCGATATGAACTATCTTTTTCAAAGTATGTGCACATTGTATCAACAACTATCATCTTTTTTTTACAGCTGCTGAACAAAACAATACAAATACACCAAGTCACACAATGCCTGAGTGTTATGCCCAGTAAGTGTCTTGCACTATTCAGTTGATGTAACTTACATTTCAATGGGAATTTATAGAGATTGATTTTGTTGACTCATCATTCATTACCACAATTAAAACCACAATTTTGGTCCTCTATTCCCCTCAAACTTTTTAATCAATATAGGGCCCTTTGTTTTAGGGATTCTCAATAGTCGGGGGGAGGGGGCTTGTCAAAAGTATTTTGCAAGGTGAGCATAACATTTCTCAGGTTTCTCCCAATGGTTTCTCCCTTATCCAGGAGCAGCAAATATCATCCCAAAGATCTGGAGGATGATTTGCCTCCTTTACCACCCATGACTCAGTTTCTCACATCCTGCCCCAGTAAGCATCAGGTTTCATGGGATGAGCCTTGAAATGCAATCATGAGCACACAATGGGAGTACTATTACACAAGGATAAAGCTGTTGTGTTATAACATTCACAATAGGAACCTTTAAGCCCACAGTAAGAAAACACTTTTTGGGCACCTGTACAATGTCAGCCTCAACTGTCAATAATGTGTGTGTCTTTGCTTTCCAGAGCCCGAAAGCTATGAGAACCTTGCAGACCTACCCTACAATGTGAAAGTAGATAACAAGGCCCCTCCTCCGCCGTACAATCACACAGAGACAGTGGTGTGTCAGGACGTGTGCCATGACCGTGACAGCATCTCAGAGGACTATGATGACATCGTAGCAGACTTTCAGAGTGAGGAGGACTATGATGATGTGGGATAAGGCCAGAGGCAACATAGCCTATATTAAAGACACAGTGGTGGCACAATGTCCTTCTAGACAAAAATAATGTTCTGTACAACTATGACTATCCTCATCTTCAGCTGATACAGCTTTAATGTTTACTAATTTATTTGGTAATACCTTACTCCACAGTCCTCTGCCAACTGGTATAGCTGCCTGGTATTTACCAAGATATCTTGTAACAATGTGTACTTTCTTACAACCATGAATTCAACACAATTTAGTTGCATTTCAGGGTATACTTTGTAATTGAAACTCTTATGCTGTAGTTAGAAGGTATAGAAAAAAAGAGAAGCTGTGTAGTTTCAATATGAATATTGACCAAAGAGTATAAAATGTACACAATCTATATTTGGGGTTCTGACAGTTGAACTAAGCTCATGAGGGATTTCTAAGTTACATTCTTCAAGAATCAATTAGTATATAAAGTCCTAAAATGGGTGTACCAATTGCAGGTTGCTCCTTTGAACTAAAGTTTTATGAAACCTTCATAAAGGAGAGTTGAACCGATAAAAACTGTAAAGGGTTTCCAACAGATCGGATATAGTTTAAGAATAGAAAAGGGTGAAATGGTGACCTGTCCACCAGTGACAAACCTTTTTTTGCAACAGTAAAGATTAGATCCTCTGTTTTTTTCCATAATCAATAACCCATCTACTAAAAGGCTGTAGACATTCCAAAATCTGTATTGATTAAAATGTGATTCATGTGATCTATAAGCGTTGCCATGAAGGTCAAGAACTGCAAAAATGTGAAGAAGTCTATATTATATAACAAACTCTTATATGCTGTAGTAGGTATCTAGTTTCAATTTCAATATTGAACATGGGGAACTTTTTTTAAATTGATTTTTTGCAGGGGTTACAAAATGGCTAGTCTCCTTTGTCATCTGTGTGTCGAGCCTAGAAGCCTGGCATGCGACACTAAATGGTCGGTCAACATTACGCTCCCTTCCATACACTGCAATGTCTTCTACCAGAGGGCGGCATTATTACAAAGCGTGAATAACGTATGCTGTTTGATTTGTTTGCAGTTACAGTAATAATTGTTTCTACACTTGCAATAAACACGTGTGCTTTTATTCAATATGTAAATTATGCAAGAGTTCTCACAATGTTGATGCCTAGTGCATCCAAGCACTCTTTTGGGACTGAAATTAAATTAATAAAAAATCAAATATGGAACTCCTTACAAAAAACGGACAAAGAAAATATCTCCAGCAATTTCTACATTTGCCACACGTTTTTTTAAATGTTTTTAAAAAGTAAAATGGAAAAAACACTCAAGATTTGAATTCATTCAGATTTTATCCTCTGTTTCATGTATTGACAATATTGTTGAGCCTATTTTTTCCCCCCCAGAGATAAAGCCAAACGTCAACACAGCCAAAGGTTTGCCATTAAAAGTCCATTGCTGTTGTTATGTCCTCATGTGGTCTTAAAGTGACAGTCTGGTTTATACAACAGTTTGAGGGAGATGTAAGTCACACACCAATCTCAGAAAAGCTCTGGTTGGAGATTGGCATTCTCCATCCAGAACTAGAGAAATAAGTTGAGAAAAAAAGACCAAGTTTATCCCTCTGTCTCTCTGAAGGAATGTCCTTATAAAGTGATCCTGTGGTGGGGGGCTAGGTTAACCCCCGAGGCGCTGTCCCTCTCCCCAGGCGAATCCCCCTGGACGCTCCTCAGGAAGGGGGTTGTAGTTGGCATCTTCCTCTGGAGTGTCAAACAGCATCTTACTGTGGGAGAGACAAAATAACAGAGACAGGTGAAGGATTACATATACAAACCAAAACAAGGTACAATATGCTTAAGATGCTATTAATAATACAGTGCCTTCAGAAAGTATTCACACCCCTTGACTTTTTCAAAATTTTGTTGTGTTACAAAGTGGGATTACATTGAATTGTCATTTTTTTGTCAACCATCTACACAAAATTACAGAAGAGTATTAGGGCCAAGTGAAGAGAAAAAAATAGATAAACAGCACTGGTGGTACTTGGATTATTTTTTTTTGTTGCATGAATGTACTTTAAAAAAGTGCCAATATTTCAAGAATAACATAAATAACATTTAGTGAATAAAGTGGCAATATTTCGAGAATAAACAAAATATATTTTAGAATAAAGTCAACATTGAGAATAAAGTTGGTTATATTTCAAGATGAATGTAGGGGATTTGGTTAAGTCATGTCTCCCTGGCTCCCTGTTGTTGTGCGCACCACCATTGAAATGCCGAGTTAGATGACCTGGTGAAACTATACTTTAGAATTGGCTTTAGTAAGATGGAAATCTTTGCTCTTTTAGCACATAAAGGCCATATTATTATAAGTATTAGGACCTGGAAAAGGTTGTGCCACAGATTATTTTCAGAAGGAGGAACCGTAGTTACGTAATTTACATAGGTAGAGACGGGCGGGTTGTGTGTGTGTGTGTGTGTGTGTGGACGGTAAAAATAAACAAAAACAAATGGCCGTCAATCTAATGATCTAATACACTCGTTCAAACAGGCGTCACTGCGCATTCACGCTTATCAATCTAATTATCGAATAACTCGCACGCACACACCAACTTTCCCCCTGGCCATTTCAGACTATAGGCATACACTCTTCTAACGACCATGCTCCGTTATGATCACAAAATAAACACTTTTTGGCACGGTCACTGAATGCGAAGAGAACTGGGGTTGAGTCCCGGTCAGTCTGCCCTCCAAACTACAACATTCTGCTGCATAGCCTAGGCGAACACTTTGCAAAAAATCTGTGCATAATGGCAACTATTAACGACCTTATCCATGGTGCTTTACGAATAGTAGGATTTCCCCCTTATGGCAACTATCCTTCTAACGACTATAGGCGAGTAGGCTACGTGAGCACACCCAATAAAACAAATTATCATGGGATCCTGGAGACCGGGGGCTATGCGTGTGTGTGTCCCATGTCAAGCTGCTCTCCAAATTCGCTACAACACCGCTATTTTGTAGCCCATTATAGACCTATATCGGCCCACTAGATTGAGTACCCTAACCTGTAGGCTAATCGTACATTACAGTGGTCAAGTAAAATTAAATTATAGGCCTATCCAACGGCTGTGGGAGGACTGAACAATGAAGCAGGGGTTTTACGCAAGTGTCTGTGGGAGGAGAGGCAACTCAAGGACCACTCCTGCATGTGCAAACCAGCTAATCTGAGGTGCTGTTTGAATATATTCATGGATGCATTCTCCCTTTCTTGAAATAATCATTGATCTAAATATAAGCCTATTAGTTAAATGATAGCCTATATAGGCTATAAAGAAATAATCACTGATCTGACATGACTTGGTTGGTAGCCTAGCGTAATATCTCCTTTCACTATCCATCTATCGGTCTTCAAGGATGGGAGGAATGAAAGATGCATACAGTGGGGGGGAAAAGTATTTAGTCAGCCACCAATTGTGCAAGTTCTCCCACTTAAAAAGATGAGAGAGGCCTGTAATTTTCATCATAGGTACACGTCAACTATGACAGACAAATTGAGGAAAGAAAATCCAGAAAAACACATTGTAGGATTTTTTATGAATTTATTTGCAAATTATGGTGGAAAATAAGTATTTGGTCACCTACAAACAAGCAAGATTTCTGGCTCTCACAGACCTGTAACAACTTCTTTAAGAGGCTCCTCTGTCCTCCACTCGTTACCTGTATTAATGGCACCTGTTTGAACTTGTTATCAGTATAAAAGACACCTGTCCACAACCTCAAACAGTCACACTCCAAACTCCACTATGGCCAAGTCCAAAGAGCTGTCAAAGGACACCAGAAACAAAATTGTAGACCTGCACCAGGCTGGGAAGACTGAATCTGCAATAGGTAAGCAGCTTGGTTTGAAGAAATCAACTGTGGGAGCAATTATTAGGAAATGGAAGACATACAAGACCACTGATAATCTCCCTCGATCTGGGCTCCACGCAAGATCTCACCCCGTGGGGTCAAAATGATCACAAGAACGGTGAGCAAAAATCCCAGAACCACACGGGGGGACCTAGTGAATGACCTGCAGAGAGCTGGGACCAAAGTAACAAAGCCTACCATCAGTAACACACTACGCCGCCAGGGACTCAAATCCTGCAGTACCAGACGTGTCCCCCTGCTTAAGCCAGTACATGTCCAGGCCCGTCTGAAGTTTGCTAGAGTGCATTTGGATGATCCAGAAGAGGATTGGGAGAATGTCATATGGTCAGATGAAACCAAAATATAACTTTTTGGTAAAAACTCAACTCGTCGTGTTTGGAGGACAAAGAATGCTGAGTTGCATCCAAAGAACACCATACCTACTGTGAACCATGGGGGTGGAAACATCATGCTTTGGGGCTGTTTTTCTGCAAAGGGACCAGGACGACTGATCCGTGTAAAGGAAAGAATGAATGGGGCCATGTATCGTGAGATTTTGAGTGAAAACCTCCTTCCATCAGCAAGGGCATTGAAGATGAAACGTGGCTGGGTCTTTCAGCATGACAATGATCCCAAACACACCTCCCAGGCAACGAAGGAGTGGCTTCGTAAGAAGCATTTCAAGGTCCTGGAGTGGCCTAGCCAGTCTCCAGATCTCAACCCCATAGAAAATCTTTGGAGGGAGTTGAAAGTCCACTGCTCTAGAGGAGATCTGCATGGAGGAATGGGCCAAAATACCAGCAACAGTGTGTGAAAACCTTGTGAAGACTTACAGAAAACGTTTGACCTGTGTCATTGCCAACAAAGGGTATATAACAAAGTATTGAGAAACTTTTGTTATTGACCAAATACTTATTTTCCACCATAATTTGCAAATGAATTCATTAAAAATCCTACAATGTGATTTTCTGGAATTTTTTTCCTCATTTTGTCTGTCATAGTTGACGTGTACCTATGATGAAAATTACAGGCCTCTCTCATCTTTTTAAGTGGGAGAACTTGCACAATTGGTGGCTGACTAAATACTTTTTTTCCCCCACTGTAGGTTATCCCAAAACAGGAACATCGTCTCCGTTATAGGCTATTTGTCTCAGTTATAAAGCTAACTTGGCTACCCCACTTGTTCACCTTAGAGGCTAGACCTGTTGGCTGTATGGTTATAATAACGGAACGTAAAATTACTGTCTCAGATGGGACTTTACTCAAACCCCTGCCCCGTGGCAAGGTCCATGACAGGGGTATGGGGGCAGCCCTTGAGCCCGACAGGACGCGCAATTCTTCTCCACGCAATCCGTGACCTACATTCACAAGATAATGGGCATACGAGGCTACTTCATTGTAAGTGTAGCCTACATAAAACACCATGCATGGCATTACGCACAAATGTGTAAGTTAAACTTTCGTTTCTACATATAGGCTGCTGGCCTAGTTGTTACTCTCTAAAATGGTGATGGCATACGAAGGGGATTGAGGATAACATTGTAGCAAATTCGAAGGGCACCATGTCTGCACGCAACTCCAGGTCTCTTCGCAGTCTGACAACGCACCATGGCCGTTAGAATTGTATTGCTTTGAGGATACTGTGTGTGTTTGTGTGACACCTGTTTGAACGAGTGTATTCGACCCCCCGACCCCACACAACTCACCTGTCTCTAACCATGTATGTAACCACACGGACTTGGATGAAATACCTCATCCAAGTCTGTGTGGTTCCTCCTTATGAAAATAATCTGTGGCACAACCTCTTACATGTCCTAATAGGCCTACTTATAATATGGTTAATATGTGCTAAAAGAGAAAGGATTTCCTTGTTACTAAAGCCAATTCTAAAGTATAGTTTCACCAGGTCATCTAACTGCAGGCATTTCAATGGTGGCACGCACAGCAACATGGAGCCAGGGAGACATGCAGTTAACCAAATTCCCAACTATAATCTTGAAATATAACTGACTTTCTCAACATTTACTTTATTCTCAATTAAATTTAGAGACTTTATTCTTGAAATATTGGCACTTTTTTAAAAAGTATTATTGTGCCAAAAATATATAATACAAGCCCTAATACTCGTCCATACAAAAAAAGTATGTAATGTCAAAGTGGAAGAAAAAAACATTTGTGATGTTAGAATTTATGGAAAATAAAACACTAATATATCTTGATTAGATCAGTATTCAACCCGCTGAGTCAATACATGTTAGAATCACCTTTGGCAGCGATTACAGTTGTGAGTCTTTCTGGGTGAGTCTCTAAGAGCTTTGCGCACCTCGATTGTACAATATCTGCCCATTATTCTTTTCAAAATTCTTCAAGCTTGTTGTTGATCATTGCTAGACAGCCATTTTCAAATCTTTCCATAGATTTTCAAGCCGATTTAAGTCAAAAGTGTAACTAGGCCACTCAGGAACATTCAATGTCATCTTGGTAAGCAACTCCAGTATATATTTGGCCTTGTGTTTTAGGTTATTGTCCTGCTGAAAGGTGAATTTGTCTCCCAGTGTCTGTTGGAAAGCAGACTGAACCAAGTTTTTTTTGGATTTGGCCCGTACTTAGCTCTATTCCGTTTCTTTTTACCCAAAAAAACTACCTAGTCCTTGACGATGACAAAACATAACCCATAACATGATGCAGCCACAACCATGCTTGAAAATATGAAGAGTGGTACTCAGTGATGTGTTGGATTTAACATAAAACACTTAGTATTCAGGACATAAAGTACATTTTTTGCAGTTTTACTTTATTGCCTTATTACAAACATAATTCATGTTTTGGAATGTGTTTATTCTGTACAGGTTTCCTTCTTTTCACTCTGTCATTTAGGTTAGTATTGTGGAGTAACTACAATGTTGTCAGTCATCTATCACAGCCACTAAACTCTGTAATTGTTTTAAAGTTACCATTGGCCGCATGGTGAAATCCCTGAGTTAGGAAGGGTGCCTGTATCTGTGTAGTGACTGGGTGTATTGATACACCATCCAAAGTGTAATTAATAACTTCCCATGCTCAAATATATATATTTTTTACCCATCTACCAATAGGTGCCCTTCTTTGCAAAACATTGAATAACCTCATTGGTCTTTGTGGTTGAATCTGTGCTTGAAATTCATTGCTCGACTAAGGGACCTTGTATGTGTGTGGTACAGAGATGGGGTAGTCATTTACAAATCATGTTAAACACTATTATTGTACACAGTGAGTCCATGCAACTTATTATGTGACTTGTTAAGCACATTTTACTCCTTCACTTATTTATGCTTGCCATAACAAAAGGGTTGAATACTTATTGAATCAAGACATTTCAGATTTTCATTTTTAATTAATTTGTAAACATTTCTAAAAACACAATTTCCACTTTGACATTATGGGGTATTTTGAAAACAGGTTTTTAGAAATGTTTGCTAATTAATAAAAAATAAAACAGAAACACCTTCTTTACATAAGTATTCAGACCCTTTGCTATGAGACTCGAAATTGAGCTCAGGTGCATCCTGTTTCCAGTGATCATCCTTGAGATGTTTCTACAACTTGATTGGAGTCCACCTGTGGTAAATTCAATTGATTGGACATGATTTGGAAAGGCACACACCGGTCTACATAAGGTCACACATTTGACAGTGCATGTCAGAGCAAAAACTAAGCAATGAGGTCGAAGGAATTGTCCATAGAGCTCCGAGACAGGATTGTGTCAAGGCACAGATCTGGGGAAGGGTACCAAAAAATGTCTGCAGCATTGAAGGTCCCCAAGAACACAGTGGCCTCCATCATTCTTAAATGGAAGGAGTTTGGAACCACCAAGACTCTTCCTAGAGCTGGCCGCCTGGCCAAACTGAGCAATCGGGGGAGAAGGGCCCTGGTCAGGGAGGTGACCAAGAACCCGATGGCCACTCTGACAGAGCTCCAGAGTTCCTCTGTGGAGATGGGAGAACCTTCCAGAAGGACAACCATCTCTGCAGCACTCCACCAATCAGGCCTTTATGGTAGTGGCCAGACGGAAGCCACTCCTCAGTAAAAGGAACATGACAGCCCGCTTGGACTTTGCCTAAAGGACTCTCAGACCAAGATAAACAAGATTCTCTGGTCTGATGAAACCCAGATTTAACTCTTTGCCTGAATGCCAAGCGTCACGTCTGGAGGAAACCTGGCACCATCCCTACGGTCAGCGGCAGGGACTGGGGGACTAGTCAGGATTGAGGGAAAGATGAACGGAGCAAAGTACAGAGAGAGATCCTTGATGAAAATCTGCTCCGGAGCACTCAGGACCTCAGACTGGGGTGAAGGTTCACCTTCCAACAGGACAACCACCCTAAGCACACAGCCAAGACAACGCAGGAGTGGTTTTGGGACAAGTCTCTGAATGTCATTGAGTGGCCCAGCCAGAGCCCAGACTTGAACCCGATCGAACATCTCTGGAGACCTGAAAATAGCTGTGCAGCGACGCTCCCCATCCAGCCTGACAGAGCTTGAGAGGATCTGCAGAGAAGAATGGAAGAAACTCCCCAAATACAGGTGTGCCAAGCTTGTAGTGTCATACCCAAGAAGACTCGAGGCTGTAAACGCTGCCAAAGATGCTTCAACAAAGTACTGAGTAAAGGATCTGAATAATTATGTAAATGTTATATTTCCATTTTTTATGTTTCGCAACAATTTCTAAAAACCTGTTTTTGCTTTGTCATTATGAAGGTAGTGTGTAGATTGATGAGGGGGAAAAAACTATTTAATCAATTTTAGAATAAGGCTGTAACGTAACAAAACGTAGAAAAGGTCAAGGGGTCTGAATTCTTTTCCGAATGCACTGTATGTTGCTCATTAGGGCTGGGAATTGCCAGGGACCTATATGATTTGTATTGCAATTCTCACGATTCTACATGTATTGCGATTCGATACTGCGATTTTATTGCGTTTTGATGTTCCAAACATTTTGCTCACCATGTCTACTGCAGAGAGAAGAGAGAGCATGAGAAATGAGTTTTGATCATTCATGGAAATAAAAGGGCAGAAAACATGTTGGCTCACTATTTAAAAAGAAGATTTTTTACAAATCGATACTTTGAGTCAAATTATAAATAATATATTGTCCAAAATAATATTGCGATATGTACCTATCGATTTTTTCCCCCATCACTATTGCTGATCTGATAAATGAATGGTATATTTCTACTTTTGGCTATTGATGTGCCTTTCCTTTTCTAGAATCATCATACCAATCAACAAACAACATTTTGGACAGCTTACCTTGAGAAGAACATGTCAAAACATTGGTTATTATAACATTGTTAATGTTGGCAATATCCATATTAGAATAATTATTGTTCACTCTGTATCATGCTTACTGCTATTTGTGTGTGCACCCGGTCTCTCCAGCAATATTACCATCTCTCAGCAGACTCATGGCCTAAACACTGCAGTTTCTATCATAAGACAATACATTCATTCTTGGACTGTACTAGAACCATAATCAACCTTATAAATGGCCAAACTTACAGAAAAAAGGGAGTCTTGAGCCATCTGCCACCACCTGGCTGGTTTGGGAACACATCCTCCAGAAAGAAGTACACATGACCCACAGCGATACCTTAGGGAAGGGGGCACATTGACCAGTTAATTCACTAGGGATGTGATGACATCAGTATCACAATGTTCTTTCCATGGCAAAAGTGAAAACACGAAGCAGATCAAACTCTTTGGTCGTTTAAAAAACTGCTGTATGTAAAATATTGTGTGCTATAGCTTGAAAAATAAATAAATGTGACTCTGGATGACAACATTAGGGCTGTTTTCCTAATGGAGTTAAATCAGTTTCGTGCTTTTTCCCTTGCCACGATACTCACGAGTATCACAATACTGGTATCGTCACGGCCCTACTAGTCCCCACTCCTCAATGGTCAATAAGGCAAAGCCCTTTTGGATCTTAAAGTCATTAATAACGTTGATGCATTACAGAAATGATTCATGGTGGTTAGGGTGACTGGTACCTAGTAAATCCACAATGATGGAGTTGCCCAGCAGCAGAGAGAATCCCATGAGCACCCAAGGGAGAAAGGGCGCCTGAAAGTTTAGCAGGCCAAAGAAGTTCATGCGAACGTTGGGGTTGCGCCTGCTCCACACGTACACCAGCATGATGGTGAAGGCTTGGCCCAAGAACACCAGACTCACAAAGGTGCCAAATATCTATGTGCTTACTAAGAAAAAAAAGGTTATTGGTGGATTGAATTGGCATACAGTGGGTGTTTTGCAGTCCATAAACACAGTCAACAGAATTATTTGAGTTGATTTCCTCTTACTTAGGCTATGCTATTAACTGCAGCCAACCGGTTAATTCTCAGTATGACAACTAGTCTAAACACAGATGAAAGGAAATCAGGGGGCAAGGAGTGTGACTGTTTCAAGAGCTTCTCATAAGGGCACCTGTGGATAACATAGGCCTATATATTTCATGCACACACATACAGCATTGTACAACAGTAGGCCCTAGTAAGAGCTCAATCAGAAGCTTGCTAAGAATGTGACAAATACAGGTAGATAAAGTCTATGTGGTATTGAACATGTCTTGACTCCTGCAGTATCAAATAAGACCATGACAGTAACAGTATAATAAGGATACAGTCATCAGAAGGCCACCGAAGAGGAACATGAAGACAAAGTCAGCGGTGCGGCCCCTGAAAGAGCCCTCCTCCAGCATACGACAGTATCGGTACCTGGAAGCCAACGGTTAAGGAAATCTGGCAAGTGCAAAGCAAATATTTAGCCTATAATTAATTATGATTAGACAGTTGCATCATGATTACAAATGAATGAAACATGGCTAGTCTTCTTGTTCAAGACAAGTATTTTATGAGTAGCATAGTGCTTCCAATCAAAGGGGAAGAAAAAAATATGCAAAGATCAATTTCACAAGTAAACTCAGAGCAAGACATGTGCAGCGGAAAAAGGATACAAAAAAATCATATTGAAAAGGAAGTTGAAGCCAACTGGACCGAAAAATAGAAAGTTGGTAATGAGTCTCCATACCTACAAGACAGAACAGAGAAAATCAGTCAACCTTGCATCTCACATAGTTTAAAAACCTGCTACATTTACACAGCAGGCCTAAGATTAAAAACTCCTAATTGTTTTTCATACCTGATACAGTAGCTAAATGGCAGATGATTCCTTGTACTCACCTGATAATTCCTTAGTATTAAATCAGGATTGAAGTATAGTTGGAAAGGTGTGATGAGTTCTAATTGCTGAGGGTGAGCAAAAAAAACATCATTCAAATCATTAGTTCACCTGTTCTATCTGATGATAGACCTTTTGTCTGAAAATGCTCGTCAAGTCAACCATGAACCATCAATCTTGGAATTCTTGACATTATTTTTAATAGCAGCTAACAAACTGCAACTTTATGGTTAGTATGCTGAGGTTAACTAAGGTCAAAGGTAGCTACCAGTTTGTATGCCAGATATGTGATAACCATGTTTCCGTACTTGGCGTTACAGGAAAGCCCTATACAAAAAGCTGCCATAGATTTTTCTACTAACCTGTTGTCGGCGATACTTTCTTAGTTCTCGATTCGGTGAAAAATGTATCTTAGAAATGTCTGTCCAGTTGTAGGTGGCTCTACAAAAACTCAGAAAGATATTAAATCCAAGTTTTTCCACAGAGTGAGGAGATCCCTCGCCATTTTAGCTGCCAGTAGAAGTACAGTGGGGAAAAAAGTATTTAGTCAGCCACCAATTGTGCAAGTTCTCCCACTTAAAAAGATGAGAGGCCTGTAATTTTCATCATAGGTACACGTCAACTATGACAGACAAAATGAGGAAAAAAATTCCAGAAAATCACATTGTAGGATTTTTAATGAATTTATTTGCAAATTATGGTGGAAAATAAGTATTTGGTCAATAACAAAAGTTTCTCAATACTTTGTTATATACCCTTTGTTGGCAATGACACAGGTCAAACGTTTCCTGTAAGTCTTTACAAGGTTTTCACACACTGTTGCTGGTATTTTGGCCCATTCCTCCATGCAGATCTCCTCTAGAGCAGTGATGTTTTGGGGCTGTCGCTGGGCAACACGGACTTTCAACTGGAGACTGGCTAGGCCACTCCAGGACCTTGAAATGCTTCTTACGAAGCCACTCCTTCGTTGCCCTGGCGGTGTGTTTGGGATCATTGTCATGCTGAAAGACCCAGCCACGTTTCATCTTCAATGCCCTTGCTGATGGAAGGAGGTTTTCACTCAAAATCTCACGATACATGGCCCCATTCATTCTTTCCTTTACACCAGAGGTGTCAAACGTCCGGCCCGCGGGCCGAATCCAGCCCGCAAACGGGTTTAATCCGGCCCGCGAGATGATAAAAAAATAAATAATAATAATAATATATATATATTAATAATTTTGTAAAGTACAAAAATGCGCTGCAATTTTTCAATAAAATAAACTGCTGTTCCAATTGCGTCCACTGGATGGCGCAATAGCAATTGTGTTAAGCAAGCAAACTGTTTATACCGGGGCAGAGCAAGTAGGTCAAGCACGTGCAGCCAATGAGCTACTTTGTTTTGCCCGCGATATTTATTACGGCTTCTACTTTTAACATTATGTGCTTTGGCACACTCATTGCCCCAATATGTCTCTGTCAAAACAGAGAAAAGTGGACGCAGAGTGCAGAGTGTTCCAAGAAAAATTGTCATCCTATTTATTCACGGAATTGAATGGGAAAGCTGTATGTTTGGTCTGTTCAGAGCATGTTGCAGTGCTGAAAGAATATAACCTTCGTCGCCACTATGTGAGTCTTCATGCCGACAAATATGACAACTTTCAAGGACAGCGGAGATGAGAGAAGGTGAATGAACTGTTGGCGGGTCTGAAGAAACAGCAGTCTGTGTTTACTCACAGCCGAGACATCAGTGACGCTGCAGTGAAAGCTAGCTACCTCATTGCTAATGAAATCGCAGTGGCTTCAAAACCATTTAGTGAGGGTGAATTTGTAAAAACATGCATGATGAAGGCAGCGGAGATTGTGTGCCCTGAAAAGCGGCAGGCTTTTGCAAATATCAGCCTGACAAGAAACACAGTTGCAGACAGGATTTCCGATCTTTCAGTGGATTTGGACAGCCAGTTGAAGCAAAAAGTAAAGTCATTTATTGCGTTTTCGGTTGCAATTGATGAAAGCACGGACATTACAGATGTTGCACAACTTGCCATTTTCATCCGCGGAGTTGATGACACATTGACCGTCACCGAGGAGTTCGTGGAGTTGGTGCCGATGACAGATACAACGACAGCAGCTGATATTTTTACCGCACTCGTCGGCACGCTGGACAGGGTCGGAGTGGACTGGTCCTGCGCTGTCAGCCTGGCTACAGATGGTGCGCCCTCAATGATCGGGAAAAAAAGCAGGCGTTGTGACAAAGTTCAGAGAGAAAGTGCAATCTGCAAATGGAGGACGTGATTTTTTGACTTTTCACTATATTTTGCACCAGGAGGCTTTGTGTTGCAAGTCATTAAAGATGGATAACGTCATGAAGGTGGTCATCCAAACTGTTAATTTCATCCGATCCAGAAGCCTGAATCACCGTCAGTTTGACAGCCTTCTCAGAGAGAAAGACCACATCTATGGCCTGCCATACCACACTGAGGTAAGATGGTTAAGCCGAGGTGCTGTGTTGAGGCGTTTCTTTGATTTACGAGAAGAAATTGAACAGTTCACGGAAGAAAAGGGCAAACCAGTGTTAGAATTTCATTCCGCAGAATGGATGCAGGACCTTGCATTTATGGTGGATGTTACAGAGCACCTGAATAACTTGAACAAACAGCTGCAAGGGCGCAACAAAGTTGTCACGCAGTATTATGACAGCATACGTTCTTTCAAGTTGAAGCTGTCATTGTGGGAGACGCAACTTGCCGGTGGTGATGCAGCTCACTTCCCCTGTCTGAAAAATGTGTGCGCGACCCAACATGTGGCAGACATGAAGCGGTTCAAAGATAACGGGACTGTTACGGGAGTTTGAGCAACGCTTTCAGATTTATGTTTATATGATTTTATGTTGATGTGCTATTGTTTTTAATTGATTTTATTTTATTTGTATATTTAACCTATTCTTGACTCTGTGGTTCTTGCACTTGTTTGGGGAACAGGATTTCATTATTTTTATCTACATTTCTGCCTGAGAAATGACACCCTGATATAGTTCTGTGATCTGTGATATACTTCTGTTAATCACTGAGGCATTGTGTGTTTGTGTGTTCTTTTTCTTTAGAATTTTCAAATAAACTTGACGTGTTTTATGATTAATAGTGATGTTGTGCTTGTACTATTTTGGACACACTGTCCTCAGGCTCCAGCTTTATGTTGTATGTTGATCGTATTAAAACAAAGAAAACAATCTGAAGTTGCTGTTTTTAAGTTATATATACACCATGGTTTTTCTGGTCCGGCCCACTTGGGAATAGATTTTCCTCCATGTGGCCCCTGAGCGAAAATGAGTTTGACACCCCTGCTTTAGACGGATCAGTCGTCCTGGTCCCTTTGCAGAAAAACAGCCCCAAAGCATGATGTTTCCACCCCCATGCTTCACAGTAGGTATGGTGTTCTTTGGATGCAACTCAGCATTCTTTGTCCTCCAAACACGACGAGTTGAGTTTTTACCAAAAAGTTCTATTTTGGTTTCATCTGACCATATGACATTCTCCCAATCCTCTTCTGGATCATCCAAATGCACTCTAGCAAACTTCAGACGGGCCTGGACATGTACTGGCTTAAGCAGGGGGACACGTCTGGCACTGCAGGATTTAAGTCCCTGGCAGCGTAGTGTGTTACTGATGGTAGGCTTTGTTACTTTGGTCCCAGCTCTCTGCAGGTCATTCACTAGGTCCCCCCGTGTGGTTCTGGGATTTTTGCTCACCGTTCTTGTGATCATTTTGACCCCACGGGGTGAGATCTTGCGTGGAGCCCCAGATCGAGGGAGATTATCAGTGGTCTTGTATGTCTTCCATTTCCTAATAATTGCTCCCACAGTTGATTTCTTCAAACCAAGCTGCTTACCTATTGCAGATTCAGTCTTCCCAGCCTGGTGCAGGTCTACAATTTTGTTTCTGGTGTCCTTTGACAGCTCTTTGGTCTTCGCCATAGTGGAGTTTGGAGTGTGACTGTTTGAGGTTGTGGACAGGTGTCTTTTATACTGATAACAAGTTCAAACAGGTGCCATTAATACAGGTAACGAGTGGAGGACAGAGGAGCCTCTTAAAGAAGAAGTTACAGGTCTGTGAGAGCCAGAAATCTTGCTTGTTTGTAGGTGACCAAATACTTATTTTCCACCATAATTTGCAAATAAATTCATTAAAAATCCTACAATGTGATTTTCTGGAATTTTATTTCTCAATTTGTCTGTCATAGTTGACGTGTACCTATGATGAAAATTACAGGCCTCTCTCATCTTTTTAAGTGGGAGAACTTGCACAATTGGTGGCTGACTAAATACTTTTTTCCCCCACTGTAGATGACAGCGCGCCACACAGTGCGACCAAAACAAAGATTTCCACACATTCAAGAGGCATTTCTCACCCGGTACAAAACATGGATTTAATATCTTTAAGTTTTCGCAGATTTTTATAGAACCACATGCACGCTGACATTTCTAAGATACTTTTTTCACCGAATCGAGAATGAAGAAAGTAAATTGCCAAGAACAGGGTAGTTGAAAAATCTATAGTGGCGTTTTGTATAGTAGTGCCCTATACAATCTGTGTTGCGGAGAAGGTGGACAGAATTACGGAATCCAAACATTAAAACGGAATTCAACAATATTTTATTTTTTTGCTATTGAATTTAGTAGGAAATCAACTACACGTATTGAACTTATTAGAAAATGCATTAACTTGCCCAAGTTAATCATAAGACAAGAACAAAATGGCTTGTAAATAAGCATTTCACGGTAAGGTCTACACGTTGTATTCGGCGCATGTGACAAAATAAAAATTGATTTGATATGCATCAGTGATTCATATTTTCGGCACAGGAATGCCCTTGTCTGTGTGTGTGTGTGGTGCGCGCGTATGTCTACACTTTGTGTAGCAGTTAGCGATGATGCTTATGATAACCTTCTGGTAGAGATGGAAAGGCTTTCCCAAAAACCTTCAATTAAATGTTAACTACAAAGTAGCCTATGCCTTCCTGGCAGAATGATACCATGATGATTTGCATCAATCCAGTGGCCATTTGTTTTGCAAACTCCGCAATTACAATAGCCAGCAGATTCCGATTCTGCTGTTACATTTGTTTATATGGAGCTGCACTGGGGTCAGAACGCCAACTTGGTTAGATTATGACACCGCGGAGCAGGCGCAAGATATAGGTCAGAAAACAATCTCAAATGCAGCGATGGGATATGCCACTGTACTCCAAATTTTACCTTTATCCAAACTGATACATTGAGAAGATTGAAATACTGCTAGTTTTCCCACAAAAATGCCCTTTTCATCATCATGCTAGCTAGCAGTAGCCACTGCAGCCATTTTGGAATGGAAGTGTCAGCCCATCAGCTCCTTTGTTGTTCAACGAGACGTTTTC